GTGGGTACTGTATGTCATTGAATCTCACAAGTTGGTGTTGTGACAACAGGGGTCGGCGGAAGGGGGCGGCAGCACTTTTACCAACGCAACCTACACCACAACTTATGATTCCAAAATAGTCTGTTTGGCATTGCTTGCAACAATTACAGTTCATATGGTCTACACCTTAATTACGTAAAGTTACAACTATGTGTCACTATCAACATGATCAACATTGGAATACACGATTTGCAGGTATACTCTCCATTTGGAACTCTCCAACCGAAGGACCGCCAGTTGACCCCTGGATGATCCCACTCTACCCTGAAAAAAGGGATGATGTCACCAGATGGGGCTGGAATTGAAAACTTCCCAAAATGAGATTGTTTATATACCATTATCCTGAATTGATATGACCCATGGCACGTACACGTATATAATTTGATTCATATATATATATATTATATCAGAAGTGGTTGTCGTCAGAATTCTCAAAAACACTCCCAGAACTGATTTAACAGAAAGATTGTTCAGGTACTCGATTCGCTTGACAATTGATGGGAACAGCACATCATTTCCTGATGTTTCCGTCAACATTCTCTAAAGAAAATCATTGAAAACTGTTGAACGACCAGTTTGCCTCAATTTTAGAACCAAGCATCTGTCGGATTTGGAATGTTCTCAAGACGCGGCGCGGCAAAAACACCTGCCCTGCACCAGGTGTGGCGAGGTTCTTGATGCAATGTGTGGAGGGATTTTTTGTGGACAGATTCCCTGACATTTGATGACAATTGATGATCAAGGTTTTGTCTTAGCTGGTCATATTCGGTGATATGTTATGATATGTGGTGATATGTGAGAAGTGAGGCGATGTTTTTTTTGTTTTTTTGGGGAAATGGAGGCCAAGAACAAGTCAGTTCTGATCAATTGTGGGACAGAGAATCCAATCAATTGCGGGACATTGGGACAGTTGTACAATTACCAAAGTTTGCAACGATATTCAATCAAACATGTCATCTAAGACCTATGCCTGCTTCAAACACGCCAATGCGATGGACTGTGACAGTATATACTTGTAGTCTCTGGTACATCAATTTTGATGCATGCAGTTGTCCGCTGCAGTTGTCCGCGCAGCTACCACTGAAACAAAAATCATCAGGCCTATCCTACAGCAAAGAACCATCCAGCACCCCCTCCTGCGCAGGACAGCGAAGGATGTCGTACCTGGGCTGAACAGTTGGATGTTTCAGCTTGGATGTTGGGCAAATCAAGACTCTAAGTGGGTGGTTGCAACAAGGACGTGCGCTATATGTTGCAATCTTCAACACAGATAACTCAGTGGTGCGGAACAAAGATACTAAGTGCTGCGAAAGAAGTTTACCAACTCAAGTCATGAACATCTCATCAAATATTGATGCGAACCTTCTAATTCTACGAATCCGCACCACATCAAATCCTGAAGGTCACTCTGCATGAATCGAATCAATTCAGAAACACCTCATAAATCCCATCAATTCCAGAAATCTAGGAATCTAGGAACCATTTTTTTGGCATATCTAAAATACCATGGATTTCTCTGTAAAATAGGGCATCCCGAAGTCTGATTATTCATCAGCTTCCCCATTTTTGGTGTCCCCGTCCTGCCCAAGCGTCCACGAGAAGCTGAAGAATCCTGGGATCCGAGTAGGGCAAAACATATGGGAATTTATTGGAATAGATATTATGAAATGATATTATTAATTACTATGTGGACGCCACACGAATTAAGTATGTATATTATATATATATTAGTATTATAGGTATACTCCATTCAAGAGTTCATTACTGTTTTTTAGAACGATGAGGCTTTAGGAATACACAAGAGTTCTTTGCAGTGTTTTATAGAGGTGCACATTTCATAGAAGTTATGCACTTTTCATAGAAATTATGCACTTTTCATAGAAATTATGCACATTTCATAGAAGTTATGCACTTTTCATAGAAGTTATGCACTTTTCATAGAAGTTATGCACTTTTCATAGAAGTTATGCACGTGCACGTTTCATAGAAGTTATGCACGATTCATAGGAGTCGCGCATGTTTCACAAGCCACCTAATAACGTTATTGTTCAACTGCGTCCCAACTTGGAACTCTTAAATCAAATAAAAACGAACTCTTAAACGAAGTATACCGATATATTGAATATATGTATATATCGTTGCCCAATTTCAGCCCTTGGTGATTTGGACATGCATTTCATGCCCATTTGGCCAAATTTCAAAGATTTCTGCCCGTGGCGGTTTTTGATTCTACGCTCGTTATCCAGCCTCAACCCTTGCACTTGGACGGCCACGGTTCATGTGTAGATCTACAGTGGCACCACTCAAGAGTCACATGTTGATTATACCTGGGTAATTATGGATATATGGGGTTTTACAACCAGATGTTCTGGAAGTTTCCTATATAGTCTATTAAACCCATGAAATCCACCTAGTAAACCAGACTCACGTTAATTAGTTTACAAAGTATATTAGGGGTTGTTGTACACCAAATCAAGAAACAAATAGAAAAGGAATTGTCCGGGTTCAATTGGTAAACCCAATGATATACACCATTTTCTCTCAGGTTTACTTACAATACCCTTCCCCCGTTTGCTAAAATTGAGTATGTCAGTATGTCATACAGCAGTATGTCATGGTCTATCATTGGACTTACAACACCTGGGGGTCAGGGATCAACTGTCGAAAATGGGGTCATCCAAATCCACTGGTTCATCAGGCAACCCGTACGTTGTCCGAAAATAGGACAGCCACAAAAGCTTAAAGCATCGATTAGGGTAGCCATTTCCAATTGTTGCTCATACAGAAAGGGTTCAGAATAGTTCTTGGATTTTTTTCGGCTTTCTTTCCTGGTACCATTTGCCTTGTATTTGCAACAATTTGGAACTAGAATCTGTCATTTTGCATGGTATTTGCTACATTTCGGCATGGTCACTTTGCATTTTGCATGCTATTTGCAATCTATTTGCTACATTTGGCCATGTTTGCCTTCCATTTTGCATGGTATTTGCCACGTTTTGGCACTTCAACCTCTCATTTGCATGGTATTTGCTACATTTTTGGTAATTCAAACGTTCATGTGGGTTTCTTGAGAATCTCTTTAGGCTTTCATTTAGGGTTTCTTGAGGGCTTCATTTAGGGTTTCATTTGGGGTTTCATTTAAGGTTTCTTTAGGGTTTCTTTGAGGTTTCATTTCGGGTTTCATTTAAGGCTTCTTTAGGTTTATTTTGGGTTTCTTCAGAGTTTCATTTAGGGTTTCTTTAGAGTTTCATGTAGGGTTTCTTATCAGGATTTGTGATCAATATCGTCAAACGATCATGTGGGTTTCTTTAGGGCTTCTTTAGGGTTTCATTTAGGGTTTCATTTAGGGTTTCATTTAGGGTTTCTTTTGGGTTTCTTTAGTGTTTCATTTAGGGTTCATTTAGGGTTTTTAAGGGTTGCAATTTACAGTTTCATTTAGGGTTTCTTTAGCGTTTCTTCAGGGTTTCATTTTGGGTTTCTTTAGGGTTGCAATTTACGGTTTCATTTAGGGTTTCTTTAGGGTTTCACTTAGGGTTTCTTTAAGGTTCTGTAGGGTTTTTATTTTAGGGTTTCTCTAGGGTTTCATTTAGGGTTTCATTTGAGGTTTCATTTAGGGTTTTGTTCATGTAGGGTTTCTTATCAGGATTTCTTTAGGGTTTCTTTGGGTTTCACCTAGGGTCTTTAGGGCTTCATCTAGGATACAAAAAGGAGAGTTGAATAAAGCAAAATATATAAAAGAAAAAACCAAGAGGTAGTGCGTGGAGCAGAGAAGCAGAGGAGCAGGAAGTAGAGCAGCAAAAACACATGACTGAAGAAAAGAACATGTAGAATAGTAGAGTAGAAAGGCACAGAAGCACAAAAGCAGAGAAGCAGGGAAAGCAGAAAAGCAGAGAAGCAGGAAAGCATAGAACCAGGAACCCAAAAAATATGCAAAACCTGCCGCAAAACAAAAAAAAGAAACAAAAATAAATAGCCCTCCATACAGAAAATGTATATAGTTCATCTCATCTCCATATAAACTGGCGGAAAATGGCATGAAATTGCTTTACTTCACCATTTTCACGGCTTAATCCCCGTATTTCTGGGTGAAATATCCATGTTTTTTCGACTCTCCACCCAAGGTTGTCTGAGCAAATGGCCCCATGGCGGGATCAGCGTTGTGCTGCGGATATGTGTCAAAAACCAGCAACACAACTGAAAATTCATGTGGAACCCAACTAAAATGTGCATTGGTTGTGCTGATTTTCCTCTTACAAAATTGCTGGTTTGTTGGATTCCATGTTGGATTTCTGGAGGGCACCCTGATTTTTTTCCACACCAAAAGTTTGCTTGTGGTTCCTCATGATCATCCTCCCATCAATTGGGCAAATTGAACATTTGTGACTTTTGATACGCTTTGATCCATGTCCATCTGTATACCATTGAGTCGAACCCACATTTCCAAAAGCAAAATAGCCAGCTTTGATCTTCTTTTGGTAGAAGGGTTTTGGTTCTTTTTCCACCCTCAAGTTGCCAGTAGAATCGAGTAGAAGGCCAATGTTAGTCGGATCGAAACCGCATGCGCTTGAAACGCGTGGGTGCAGCATCACTGAGTCAAATGACTGGAGTTTGCCTTATCCTGAACTTGTGTCTCTATCCATATTCATTTCAGCGAATTCTTGATTTGTTGGCAGTGAATTCTTAATAGTCTCCCAACTCTGAAGCACATGGCTGCAGCTACCAAGTTTGGGGACGTCCCCTCGAATCCGGCAGGTGGGCGATGGTTCCACTTCCCCACATTTAGAGGTATGAATGCAGCTGTCAGAGATTGTCAGAGCTTCAAAAGCATCAACAAAAACAGGTTGAATTACCTATGGATTTCGATCTCTATGATTTGTTTTGATCTCTCAAAATCCTCGTCCAGCTCCTTTGGATGGAATATCTCCCTCTCCTTCAACCACCATCGGACGCAATCTTTTTTTCTGCTCATTCCCCGCTGGTGGCAGGGTCGCAACGGTCACAACGGTCACAACGGGGTGGTCTCTTTTTTCTTATCAGAAGAACCGCTGGGCCCACGTGGCATCTTGGGCCTGGCAACGGACGGCGCTACGTTAAAAAAGGCCGGAAATTCATATCTATGAGAGGCTAACTAATGGAATATTCACTTATGGGATGCGTTAACTATGTGAAATATATCATCTATATTAATCTATGGCATTTATGGAATATATTAAGTATATTATATGACATTATATGTGAATATGACATTATCTATGGCATTGATGGTATATGAACTAAGACTATGGGAATATTATCTATGGGACGTATTAATTTAGGGATATGTTAACGATATTTGAGATATTAACTATGCAATGTATCAACTATAGGAATATTAATTGGGAATCGGAATATATGGGAATATTAACTATGGGATCTTGTTGGAATATCAAAGATATTGAAACTTCTCTATGTGAATTGAATGACATTAATCTATGGGCAATTCACTGAATATCAAGAATTATCGAAGATTCTGAATCATGAAAGACTAGGAAGTTCTCTCTACATTCTTGCATGTTTCATGATTCATATGTTTTATTGCAAGCGCATCCTGATGCATCCCATTCGATGGTGGGCTTGGCCAACTCCTGGTGTCTCGGGGTGCCGATCATTGATATTTTGAGTTGAAAAAAACAAGTAAGCCTTACAGGTATGTAATAAAGTTTAAGAAAGGTCATCTAAAATCTAAAAAACTAAGCCTACTAAATCTGGGTAATACTCGTGGTCCCTTTGCTCTAAACCTGATATCATGAACAGAAGGCAAACACCTCTTGAACGATCAACCCTTGGCAGGATTGATGCCCCGGATGGTCATCTTGCTGGCATGTTCATCCATCATGATCTCGCCAATTTTCTGGTCCTATGGTAGGTCAAAGAACCTGGTATCCTGGTGGGCACGAAAAATCGGTTGTAAACTGTTGTAAACGATGGTAAATGGAACTAAACATCCCCAGCCACTGCTACTACAGGCTTTAACATGCCCATCTGCCATTGAGCCATACCCCACATGTCCACCATGCCCCATCATAAGAAAGGCGTCCCCAAGTCTGGGTTTCCCAGGCGCGATAGCGTCAATCCTGCAGCGGCGATATATCAGGGGCATATCCTAACTTTGGTTGGTTTCAAACACCTCTTTATTTGCTGTGACATCCTCGATTTTTGTTTCAACCTCCATGTCTCACCATATTGGGGGAAACATCAGATATGTCACAGACCTAAACAAAAATCCCCTGTGAATGTGCACTAACCTGTGGCTGAGTGTTTTCTATAAGAAAAACAATTTATAAAATGGTTCTGAGGGTGCATTTTTAATAGAATGAATCTGAGGCATATTTATGGAATGGTCCGGCAAGTTTAAGGATCTGAGAGTCCGATAGATAAAAAAACAGATAGTAACTTTATAGAATGAAATAACTATTTCGAAGTAAAACCCATTTTTTTTAATAGAATATATCAGCCTAGTATCAACAAGTACCAACAATTTAGCACTTAACCATTTTTAGAATGCCTGGATTTGGGTGAAGGATGCCCATGGATATCCCATGATGCCCCAAAGCTATGGATTTCAAACAAAAGGCGGCAAGAAACCAGAAAAAAAACCAGCAACACGTCTTGCTTGTTTTTATTCAATATCCCACTTGTTTGATGTGTACCCACCCCTGTCTAGGCATTTCATGAAAAATTGGCGTTCGTATGTGTTTATGAAACCGAATATCCTATGAAAATCAAATATCAACACTACAAAATGCATGTCGAAAAAACCAAGTGAATGATATGGGGCAAAATCCAGAAAACCCGGGGCGGTTTCAAATGTCTAGGTAGCCACCAAGATGTTTATAAAATGTCTTTGCCTCAGCCCATTGTGTATTGTCCATCCGTTTTCCAGAAGGGTCGTTTTAAAAACATAGTGTCGGGTTCAACGGTTTGCACGCAAAGGTGGAGGTCAGTATTGCCAGTAATAGAAGGAAAGCATTGGGGATTCATTTATTAAATAACTCAGACGGCAGCTTTATAAGGCATGGCTGCTAGGCGGTCAAAGGCAAAGACCGGCGCAAATTCTACTAGACAGCAACAGCGATGATCAAACATAAAAGTACCGATCTAATCATATGTATTGAAACGTCACACTGGTTCAAACATTATGGAACATACTCAAGTTCCATGAAGTAACATGAAACGAACTTCATTGAATGTCTGTGATTTTGAGTCTCATTTGCTGAAGTGACATGAAGTGACAACATCCCCTGTTGTCTGTTAAAAGGCAGCAGGAAACCAGAAATGCAAGCCCGCAACATGTTTCAATTTATTTTAAACTGCTATTTTGAATGCATGTTTGGTCCAAGCAAGTCTGTTACCCGAATCGAACCTGACAGCCCATCGGATTTATGGAATGAATCAACCGGGATGCTTAACTTCCATTTAACTTCCAATTGTTCGAACATGTTGTTTTTAATGGAATGTGTTCATGGGTTGCAAAAGAAGAGGGAAGGTTCAAGAGTTTGCTTGTTCCAGCCGGTCCGATGTTTCGAAAATTTGGGTTTATAGAATGACACTCAAAACTGCATTCCATAAACGACCGCAAACTCATTCTATAAAGGTACATTGGGGATAAAAAAAGGTGAGGTCAGGCCACAAAGTCATTGTCAGTTGCAAAGACGTCTCCAAGGTGTTGGGCGCGGGGCATATCTACAGGACTCGTTGGTTTCCACCTCCAAAAACGGCATGACATCATGTTTTTCCCGAAAGCGTAGGCATAGCAAGGGTTCCCGTTTCACTCTGGGGGTCTGGGGGTTGAGGGTGTGTTCGCTCGACGTTGCGTTTACGTCCGCAACCGTTCGCAACCGTCCGTGCGAGGCCCGTATGGCCGTGCCTATGGCGAGTTCTGTAAAAGATGTCACTTTTGGAGGATTCAAATGTCGCGTAGCTTCGTTTTGCGTGGCAGGCGTGGCAGGCATGGCACTTTGTGACATTCCAACATGTTTCATAACGTGTCCAAAGTCCTTTTGTGTTGCAGGCGCAATACTTTTGCGACGTTTTCAGACGATGAGTTGCATTTTTCGTGGCAGGCGCACAGCACTTCGGAGACCTCCATCGTCATTTCGCGTGGCAAGCGCAGCACTTTTGACGTGTCGTGTGGCTCGTTTTTGCGAATCGCATTGTCAGGGCTGCGTCAAGCGGTGACAACGTGCAAATTCCGTTGCAGGCGTGGCACGCTGTGAGATGTGATGAAAAATGGACGGAGGCCTCGCGCGAAACATCGATTTTAAGCTAATATTAAGTTTCATGAGGAAACTTGTGGGAAAACCTTGATTTTGGAGCTACAAAGCATTAAAAATTGAGGAAGACTCGAAGGAAACGCTCGTTTTGAGGCTTCACCATGTCTCGTCTCGATTCTGTGGTTTTCTTCTGCCGTCGCCGTGTCTATGGGGGAAGCCGCAAAACCTCTCCTTTTCGATGGTTTCCAAACCGGTTGTAATTACGTTTTGCGTGGCAAGCGTGGCACTTCGTGACATTCTCACGTGTTTGCTAAAATGTGTCGAAAGCCGTTATTTGTGGCAGGCGCAGCACTTTGGGGACGTCCATCGTCATTTTACGTGACATGTGTGCTGTTGCGTGTTTTGTGCGAATCGCATTGCCGCATTGCCACGGTTGCGTCAAGTGGTGACAACGTGCAAATCGCGTGGCAGGCGTGGCATGTTGTGACATGCGATGACACTCCACACTCTACAATCCACACTTTACACTCTACACTCTACACTTTACACCGTACACTCAACACTCTACACTCTACACTCCACACTTTACACTCCACACTTTACACTCCACACTTTACACTCCACACTTTACACTCTACACTTTACACTCTACACTTTACACGTCACACTCTACACTCCGCACTCTACACTCCACACTTTACACTCTACACTCCGCACTCCACAATCCCCACTTCTCACTCTACACACCACATTCCCCACTCAACACTCCACTTTCTTCACACCTCACACTTTGCACTCCACCCTCTTCCGGATCCCACAGTCTACAGCGCACTGGTACGGTAACAGGGAAACATGCACAAGACTGTTCAAAGCACTTGTTTCACAAAGGTGTTTTACGTGACTGCATTCGGGTTCGTGGGCTGCATCTTGTTTTGCTGTTTGAAAAGTCAAGTTCCAACAGGGTTTTGATATGGGTTTTGTCTGAAAATTGGGTTCCCTAGTCCTTCGACTGGTTAACCATTAATTTTTCCTGATTAACATTGCCACAATTGGAGGGGCCGGAATCATATTTTCAGCACCCACCTGAGTTCAGCCGAGCTGGTTGACGGGCGTCTTCGGTCTTTTGACCTGGAAGTTCAGGATAGAAATCACCAAAAACATCAGATTTAAAGTCTAAAATGTAAAACAAAATATAAAGGATATTCAAGTATATTTGAGTGATATCAATGAACTTGAACTAACAAATATCTGAGAACATGCACGATCATTATTGTTGCATATATATATGTATGTGTATATGTGTATGTATATGTGTATATCCAACTTAATGATATTTGATGTGTATATATATAAACACGCATATATTATTAATAAACACATTATCATAGCAATTCAAAAGAAGATGTGCAGATTGGCAAACGCAAGAGGATAAAAGACAATACACTTCAGCGACGTAGATAAGGGTATACCCTCCGGCAATCAAACATTGCAATAGAAAATCCCCATTTGTAGATGACTTCCCCATTACCACCTCCATCCAGTTCGTGGGATTTGCCAGCCAGCCATGTTTGATACCAGAGGGTAACCTGCCTAAGTTGGGAGACAGAATGGATTGCTTGGGGGTGACTCGCCATCCCATCATCCCTGAAGAAATGGCATGAAACCATTCTTCGACCCATCCTACACAGTTCAAGTTTGGCGCATGTATACATATATCACATGTATTCACATGTCTGTTTTCTCCATTTAATAGGTCATGGAAGGATTCACAACCGACTATATGGTCGACAGTCAGCTATACATCTCTGCTTCCACATGCTTGTCGTATTCTGCTGGCCAACATCTTGCAGTCTTGCGGGGCCTTAAACCAAAGACAAGCGCTGAGCCACCGCGAGACTAACACTGTAATGAGGAATTGCTTGATCTGGGTTGGTGCCAGCTTCATAACACTTGCTGATACGAACACAGGACCTCTTGAAAATAGGGCCTTACATCAAAAATCTCCCTTTTTGAGTACTCATATGTTCTGTCTTGCACATCAATCCAACAAATCATAACCGGCTGGTGGTGTCAAACTTGCAAAATGGCAATTAGGCATCACCATCCATCCAAATCCGCCCCCACCGACGGTGCCGAGGCGTGGTAGTTTGGTGAGCCAGATGCCCCACACAGGACCAAGTTGCGCATGCTAAGCCCAGTTGGGCTCAAGTTGGGCCCAAGTTGGAGCCAACTGGCCCGAGCTCGGCGCAAGTTACGCCCAAGCTGGGCCAAGTGGGCTCCTGTCGGCCAACTTAAGGCCAAGGACGGCCGAGCTTGACCCCAGTCGGCTTTTGGTTGGGCCAAGTAGGCCCGCTTCTTTCCTCTCCGTCCTATTCCCTGGGTGCGGACGGTTCTTGTCGCAAAGCGACTCGAATATAGAGGGCGACAACAACAAATCCTCCAGCTAGCTACTAGCATAGATATGGAACATCCGGCATTTTTGGTCATTTTCCTGGGAAACCATGGGTCATCCATACCCAATATATATCCTAATTGGATCCATTTTGCTGGAGGGTGTTTGAAACCAACAACCAGTCATGATCATTCGTCAATGGGCTCAATTCAAAAAGCAAACATATGGGACACCAGAACAGTGTTTTCTTTACATCGTTTTCCATGTTGTCCAAGCCCATTTTTTCAAGCGTTCCCCATGTTTTTGTCCATCTTTTTCCCATCAAATATTTGGATTTCCTGCATCGGCTACCCCAAGGACCATCAGCTACCCTGACCTGCTCCGCATCGGCCTGGATCGGGGATAGTGATTTCAAGTTTCTGATTGTTAAGACTGTTAAGATTTGGCTATGGATCAATACCTATACATACCATTTTTAGGGGATGAACATCCATTTACCAGCTATTTTGATGTTCACCAGGGGGATAGGGTTTTGACCCATCCCCATTTTTCTATTGGGTAATCAGGTCACCAACACTGCGGAGTTCACCCATTCTTGCGGCGAAAATCTGCGGAGTTCACCCATTTTTTCGGTCTGCCGATTCCGACTGAAAACATGGGATGTGCCAACAGTTCAGACCTTACCACAAATGACAATGCCATATTGGGATCTATTGAATATATTGGGCAGGTACATAATCTCCCCAACGATAGCAGCTAGGATCATCCCAAATCATCGGATGGAGATCATGACATCTGGAAGCAACACTGATTATATCTGATTATTGAACAGATCCCAAATGAGTTTCCACAAGTAAAAGTGTGTGCTTGCTAAAAAATCTCACCGACGAAGAAAAGCAGTAGTTGCTAGAGCAACATAGAGCAACCCTAACAGTACGTAATACATAATATATCACGATCCAAAGAGGACAAAGGTGACCCTGCTAAAAGATACTTCATTTTGTTCTGTCCTCCTACTTTTCCGATCCACCGGACACCCCTGGAGCTTCACGAAGCCAAGAAGCTTCAGGTGCTTCGTCAAAAGCGAAGCATGCTCCTAGCGGAGACTCTTACTGCAGAACCACTGGAAGAGTTGGAGGAGAGAACTCAGATTCAATTCGAACCCTATCTTGAAGCAAACTCAAGTGGCTCCCAAAACCAACTCTTGAATGGAGATGGGACCAACATATGCAAATACAGGGATTTTTACCAACTAGACATGTGGGTATACAATATGTTTTACTCTCAACCAATCAATATGGGCATCCAAAGATGAAGACGAGCCCGGAGATGATTAGAGCCAGACTCAGTAGCTGTCCAGATCAAAATAGCATTATAAGTATATGTATATATATATAGAGATACATACACATTTGTATATGTAACTCAGCCTTCTCAAACCCTTGAACTATCATAAATAGGAGAAGATCGCATCTGGCTATTGGTCAAGCGTCACAATCTGATACCCATCCTCTTCACCAGGGTTTTCCGTCAGAATCGGCGCAGAAATGACATTTCAGAATCCCCTTATGTAAGAAATGGATGTCTTCTAAGAAAACATGCAAAATACAACTTATATAATTATATTGTAATACAAAAACATATCTAGTCTAAGATTATTATAAAAAATAATAACATTCCCCATTTTGGGGGGTCCCACAAAAAGCCTTCGGGGCCCCTCAAAACTGCGACCTCTGCCATAGATTTGGCATCCTTGACCTGCACCGCGTTGGTTAAATCCGGTCATGACAAGGGTGGCCAAAATTGGTATAAATTTCATATGGAATTATATTATAATTATATCAAATTTATATCAAATAATACTTATTCGATAATTATATCATATTCCAATAAGTATAATCATTAATTATAATTAATATGGTATTTAATGATTATACTTATTGGAATTCATATTGGTATAAGATTTATGCCAGTGATTGGATGATTCCGGCAGGTTTAAATTTTGATCGTATTCAATTAAACCTGGTTGGTGGTTGACCTACCCCTCCGAAAAATATGAGTCAACGGGAAGGATTATCCCATAATGGAAAATAAAAAATGTTTGAAACCACCAGCCAGAAACATTCTTCACCATCCACATTCCATCTACTCTTGACTCTTTAAGCCATAATGTCAAGCTCGGATTCATAAACCCTGGTTGATTAATTAGGGGTGTTCCCCCCAAATAGTAATAGGTTGCTACTCAATTGGTACAGCTTAGGGGTTTATTGATCCGAGCTTGAAATAAGGAAACTATGACTTCAATCAGCTTCCTCCCGCGATTAACACATGTGTGGCACAATCCATGCTTCAAAACAAACAAGCGCAATCCATGGGGCAGTGCTCTTCGAACAGAAGCCTGGTTTCTATTGTCATATTTTCGGACAGGTCATGAAAACCGTTCAAACAAAACAAAAGACGTGCAACACGCAAGCAAAACACGTTACATGACAAAACCACTTGAGGCCTTTGTGTCATATGTTGACATCACTGCACCCATCTGGTTTGTCCCTGGACCTCATACATCAACTCCTTCTTCAAATTGAATTGAAAATGCATCACCTGTGGCGGATGGGGAACATGGCTGACCTCGAATATCCCTCAAGAAGGTGCATAGTCTATTTCTCCAACATTTAATTCTAAATATCCCTATATCATCCTATATCCCTCAATCAAGTGGGATACTTCTCCAAAATTTGGTTAAAAATCACCCGTTGACCAAGCATTCACCAGTCAGTTGATACAGGCGCCGATTCACCTGTGGAGTTTCACACGAATTATTCCTACACCAAGCAAGCGATCGTGATGAGGGCTGCCAAGAACCATCGATTGATGATTGATTTGAGCAGGAACGAAACGCTTGTGAAGGTACCACTCATGTTTGCTCACGGAGCTAGACTTGAATGCCCAACTGGATCAACTGGTTGGGGGTTCTCACCCTTTGTTGAAAACAGCCTGTGTTCAAATGCTGTTCATCATCCCAAATAGAATGGAACAGCCCGGCACCTTTGTGTGATATTGAATCACCGTGGGCGGGTGCGCCACGCTAAGAAATCCAATTTTCTTTTGCCTCAGTCGTTTCGATTGCGCACACAGGGGTCTTAGAGAGTTATGAATGTTATGAATTGGGGATATGTAGACCAGCAAAGGAGGGATACAGTCTAACAGGATTGAAATTGCACCTCTTTTGACATCACCTCAAAAGGAAGTCAAACATTGTTTAGATGCTCAAATGGGATAGTCTCAAATGCGATATAATGAGATACATTGCCTTCCAATCGAATCAATATTGCACCATGCAGTCTGCAAGACTTCAGGTTCTTGCTCCTACCCTTGTTAATTCGTTGTTCCAAACAGGTGCACCTATCTACCCATCCAAACATACATAAAGTAATTCATAGTAATTCAATATACATTTGTATTGCGAATGCACTTGCGTTTTTGCACATACGATTTCCTCTACATGCAAATACGATCGCCCCTCAGGTCTAGTATGTGTCTGTATAATTATATAAATAGAATTAAATAGACCCATACCATAATTAATCCACATGATCACTTCTCAGTCTAGCAGGGACTCAGAATCTAAAACATGTGGCAGACCATCGCTTGCAGCTGGGTTGCTTCAGAGTCTGATATACTTTCATCTCCTCAGCGGAATGGGTCAATTGTGTCTGATGGCTGTTGAGCCCTGGTTGAAAGCGATGGCACCATCATACACCATCTATTGGAACAAATGGAACACATGGAAGTATCATAATAGGGATCCCGCCGACAAGTCCGCATATAAAGAATGACTGACATTGGAAAGAAATTGTTGTTCGCATGTAAAGATGGCATTTTGCTATGCAAAACTTTGCTTGGCAAGTTTGATGCCACGATGAACCAAATGGCCACTGACATAGGGTCAAAATCAGCAGTCAACACTATTCACTATGCACCATCAGCCGTTGATTCATGGAGATTATTTTTTCAACCAGCCCCAAGAGCAATAATAACAAGGGCTGGCTTGCTAAGCACCAACAACCTATGAGATCAAAGGCTTATTGATGGTTTCAATCCCCTCAACAAAAATTGGTGTGTCATCCGGGATCATCTCATCAAAAGCACCAGTTGGGTATAGTATACCAACAGAGCTTGAGTCGTGTCCCCACAGGCTAAGGAGGCATAACGGCTCGTAACGGCATAACTTCAAAGAACATGGTTTTACATAGGACATCTTTCTTTGGGTGCCCCACAAAAAATATTGTGAGGCAATGGTTTTTCCACCCCAAAAACCGACGAATCTCCCCATCTCGCGCCCGAGAAGCAGAAGCAGTGTCCATGGATGCAGTCGATTCATCCAGAATTGAGAAAAAGCTGGTGTTCGTCATTTGATTCTCACGCCTCAGTCATACCATGGAATCCATGTGACTGAAATTCAGAATGACAGCTGGCAACTCTACAGCCAGGACCAACATGGAAAAAATAACGGCTCATATACAAATTTTATAGATGTCCACACTTCAAACCGATCCTCCTCCAAAATACTCTTGGATGTTCATTGCACACTTTAGTTACCTTGCAACGGAATCGTTGTTTGGGCACCAAATACCATGCAAAAAATCATGGATTGATACCGGGTGACTATTGTATTGTATGTATAATATATGGGGGTTCCTTAAATGGAATATCCCGAAGTCACCATGGGTTTCAAATGGTTTCAATATGATACATAATAATTACAATGGTCATCCATGACTGGATGATAACTGGGGGTACCCCCCATGACGAAACGGAAACCGGGTGCCCAGTCTGCTGCTGCCATTCGGCATGCCAGAAAAGCCTGCGCGGCGCTGTGTCAACGTGCCGCGCCGCGGCAACGCGCGGCTTGTCATAAGGGATACAGGGATACATCTTTTTTGTGCGACTTTCGAATGAACAATTGAAAAATATAAATGTATTAAAAAGTATTAAAAGGATTTACAAGGGAGGAAATTGTGATGAACGCCAAATATTGTGATGAACGCCAAATATTTCTGGATTCTCATTCAGGGTGGGTCGCCATTTTTCCTCAGCACTCTTCAATATGACGATCAACCTCCGCGACCCCTCAATGGCCACACGCTGCTCAAATACTAAAACCCTCAGTGTATGTCAGGTACCGACTTTCACGCATGCAAATCCCCGCAACCCACACGTGCTACAGTTTCTGATGAGTATTTACATCGAATTAATGTTACATACAAAGAAACGATCCAGGTCTGAAAATATACGTACACACGCAGGCATGGGGAAACACCGAATGCATGCAATTGGAATGTGGGTCAAAATAGGGTATAGCATGGTATAGCCAAAAATGATCTGAGTCATACGTGAACAAATACTGTAACCCATGGTTCCATTTTTTGACCCATACATACCATTTTGATCCATTTTGATAAATACATTGTTGAGGACTCCGTTGGCCACAATAATCCTGCGTGCGGTTGAAGAGAAAAGCCACATGAGTCACATAAAGAAACATAAAGCAACACAGGGTAGCCTCAACCCGTTCACAGAACAAGGAAACCTTCACTTATCAACTAGCTTCAATTCTAGAACCATTCTGCAACCTTCCAGCATTAACCCATCTTTGAAACCCAACACAAGGTTCCTAGGTTCAAAGGTTCCAGCGTTCCGGTCCCGTTCTGGTTGTTGGGCTCTGGAAGAAATGACGCACCACCCAGACCCACCCAACAGTCACTGGTGTTGGGAATAAGGCCCACACACCACCCTCAAATGACAGCACCTGCAAAATTGAATTCGTTGCTGCTCTCCCAAGCTGAGGACCTTGTTTATATGGGCTGCTGAATTACACAAGTCATCACAAGTCACTGTGGAGTCCCTGCGAGGTACTGAAGGCACGTGCAACGTTGAAGGGCTCGGCTGGTTCTTACGCAGCGGCATCGACCAAGGCTCCGGACGTCTGCCCAAGGGATGCCGGGGGTATCTAACTCGTGCCGCCGATCATGCCAAACCTGTGACCCATGGTCGGGTTGATCAGGTTGGTCAACTTGGTCAACTTGGTCTGGCAGCTTCAGCAAATGATCTCATTCCTGATAGGGGTAAGAAACGAAATGAAACGAACTTGAGGTGTTCAATGTCCGTATAATGTTAGTGTATAATCCAAAAGCCAAAGACTCCATAGAACATCATAGAACATCCATGATCACCTGCGAGAGATGCCGGTTAGCAGCTAGCAGGATTCCCATCCAACCCAAGAGCGGCCCAAGCTTCGCCTCCTCCAAATTACAATCCACAAACAAACGCTTGAGATTGGTGTCGTTCAACCTGTGAGGCTTACTGTCTTGGATCTGTTTTGCATCAGGATACATGACTGGTTGATGGTTTCAACAGAATCAAGCCAATTGGGGATCATGATCCCAGGGATGGAGGTTACAAAATGTTGAAGCTGCGAAACAGTGTGGATTGGAGGATTCCATAGTGTCGTTGTATAGTGTTGTGGAACGACATTCTGGAACACTCAACACTTTGCACCAGACTGCGACTGAGTATGATGCTGGTTCAACAAAGAATCATCCCAAACCTCAATCCGAAGACGGGAACGCTGCAAGTGGAAGGCAGCTTATGGCTTGAACAAATACTGCAATGACCTGCCAGGTGCCTTTTCAATCCTTTTCATAGATATTTAATCAGAGTGTTCAGTAAAACAGGACGTGGACAAACGATGACAAAAGTCTCCCATAAAAAACCTGCCTTCCTTGCAAGCAAATCAGCTTGACATAAGTTGATTGATTTGATTTGACAGCACTGGTCTTGAAGAAAGTAAATGCGTCTTGTGCAAATGCAAGCTTGTCTCGGATCATCTACAACTGATGTCAAAAGAACTGTCTGCTGCAAATGTGACACTAATTCAGGCAGTCCTACCAGATTTTACTAGCACAATGGACGAAATCCATCTTCTTCATCTTCAATGCAAAGAATTCAGCACTCAAACTGCCTGTGGCATTGGCATCGCGGCATCACATCCATCCAACTCATTGGCTGAGTCTCTTGCAGGATATGCAATTTGTTCGCGAAGGGTACCATCAAAGAGATATGGCCTGTGATTTCGGGCCGATGACCATCACATCAGTGGCAAAATGGGATGTTGGATGCTGGATGTTTACAAGCTGAGGAAATAAATTCAGAAGATGCAGCAAACTTTAATTCGAAACCAACTTCCTATCCTGTTGCTCCGGGTAATTTTTAAGTTCATTTCCTTGGTGTTCCCTTAGCAAAAAATGGTACAGTAGGCAGTTGCGCAAGTTGAGACCCTGATCTGCACGCATCTTTGGCATCCGCAAATCAAAGGTTTCTCCCATACTTGCAGTCATCTGCAGTTCAACAATGTTCAACATCTATATTGAACTATATTGACATCATAAAATCAAATACGAAGTCCTTCAGAAGGATCACTTGACTCATGTACATGCGCAATTGCTTCACTTTGCTTCACTTCCTCCAAGCCGAAACCGACCCAAAGTACGCCCTCCCCCGAGATTCCCGGGATGGCCCAGGTGATCCGTACCCGCCGTACCCGCCATACCCGGCCTTTGCGCCAGAAAGAAGAGGTTTCGTCCCGCAGGCCTGGCTTTCAGAAGCGTGAGGCTATACCCATGCCAAGTAGAGGGACATGTTATATAATGTATTATAATGTTATATATATATTATATATATATATATTATATATATTATATATATATGTATATATATATATATATCATCAGAACCTGGAGTCTCCCAACGTCTTTCAAATAACATCAAATAATGAGGTATGTAAAGACTGTCAAATGCACGAAAAACCGTACCACCGACAAACAAACGCCGCAAATGGCTGACAGTAGCTCCATCGGAGCAACGTCAGACTTCGCAAGTAGTTGATCCTCTTCATATCTGAATGACTTAATGAGTGTGTTATATAACTTTCCCGAATCCATTGGAAAGATCAAGCCCTTTGGGTGTCTCTGAAAATACTGCGAAAAGCGCACAATTCCATGGTCAATCATCATTTCATCCATTGAAACGGCAGTTTTTATGAGGACAATACACATGTTGTTTGGACAAACCCATGATGTCATATTGTTGGCATTTCTTGGTTGTATATTCCCATGTGATATCACCATTGAATAGCCATGAGTTGTATCCCCAAGCCATTGGGATCCGGCAGACCCCCACCCCGAAAGGTACCTGCTAAAGCGTGCCGAAACCTGCAGTAGTTGAGAAATTGCAGGAAACATCTCCGTATAGTTGGTTGCCAAGTTGCCAACCATCAAACATGTCTACTTCTCTGAAACTCCTACAACTAGTAGTTGAAAACAAATCATACAAATCAACAGCATAGATCTTGACAGTTCTTCTGCATTCAAGAATTTTAATCCAAAGCATTGCAATGACTGACTGCATCATATTGTAGCCCCAGCGGATCACAGCATTTTGGCTGGCGATGCTGCGCATGCATGGGATGATCACCAAGATTTTTTAGGGCTTCCCAACGATTTCAAGTGACGTCCCCAAGTGCAAAAATCTCATAGTTTTTCTCCACGATATCATCCGATGCCTTTTCACAAAACATCACAAAACTATGGTTGACTTGACATATAACAGGAAGTGTTGGAGGGCTTAACTGGCTCCAAAAACAGCTGGAATCCAGCTCCCGGTAGCCGGGTGGTAAAGGCGATGTGGGTTGCAGATCAAATGATTAGATCCCCATTACTGCCACTAATCAATATATAGGTATGTCATGATATGTCAAGATACTGATCCATCGCCAACCTTTCAAGATAATGATCATATTGATCAACATTCATAAGTGTTGATCCATCCCCCATATCCCCTGAAAAAATTCACCCAAATGTGGAACATGTTGGCTATATCCCATATATATATAGGTATATCCCATTGTATCCCCAAAAATGATTGCTATGAATCATAGGTTTCAACCCACCAAAAAATATGTGTCCGAAAGGATCTCCCCACCGGCCGGCCTTGCCGGGCGTTTGAAAGCAGGGCCACAGCTGTCCCAAGACCCGCAGCAGGGAGGATTTGCCAATGCCACTTGGGCCTCGGGATGGGATTTAACCATCTAAATAGCTACTGAAAATGGTCATTTTATAGTTGATTTACCATGATTTACCATATTTACCTATCAAAAATGGGGGATTTTCCATAGCTAAGTTAGGAAAACCAAATGGTAATCTAAAATGGTGAATTTCTGGTGTCTAATTCAAGAATCGTGGTATAATGGCCAATGTTGATGGGACAGTATCATCTTGACCGTCAACAATGGTATTTCATGGTATTTCTATGTTTAATCGGGATATAACAGGGATGTGTGGATGAGAATGAGGATGAATGCGATAAATGCGGTATATCATTGGGATTAACGAGGTATAATGATTGAACATGACATGTATAGAGTATATCTGGTTGGTGGTTTTAACCATCTTGAAAATATTAGTCAGTGGGAAGGATTATCCCATATATTATGGAAAATAAAAAAATGAAACCACCAACCAGATATGAATAATATATATATATAATTATATATACATTAATGTATACGTCGCTTCCGAGTTTGCAAGATCCATGGTTTTTAGGTTCATTTGACGTTTTGGATAGTGTTTCCAATTTGGAGTTCGGGCTCAAAGCTTTAAATTTGGGGCTTGCCGGCTGGGATAGCATTCGGAGGCTAGAATGAGAAATGTCCCAAAGTGCGAAGCTACCCAGGGCTTTACTGCCTTGTCATGTCTTGTCTTCCAGGCCGACAAATAGTTTTTTTGTGTATTGATACCCCCATGGTCGTTGGTCTTATTCCTCTGGTAATTTAACATAGCTATTGAACATCACCATTTATAGTGGATTTTCCCATTAAAAATGATGATTTTCCATAGTTATGTTAAATTACCAGAGGGTATTCCTCTGCTTGATGATATCCTTAATTTTTTCTTATCCATACATCGTCTACCCAAATGGGTTGGTCTAAAAATTTGGTACCCTGGTTGCCATCCAGTGGTGAACCCCATCATTTCTCCAATGAAAAAATTGCTATCTACGGGGCATACATCATTTCCAGACACACCTAGATATCATATTCAGATATATTCAGTATTTATATCCCCATTCTATGCCAATTATATGTATAGATATATTCCATATTTGTTGGTTAGATCCCCACTGAAAGCTAGATTACCTTAAAGACCTGGCTGCCACCCAGCCACCCATAATGAGGCAGCTCTCTCCCACGTCCAAACTGAGATTAACCTCAGCTGCGTGATGGAACTGAAATGACTGGGAATGAATGGGGGGAATCACAAACTTAAAAAACATGGCTACATCATGATCATCATGATAATCATGCTACATCTTCACTTTTTTTGCTGCAACTGGCAAACATCAACAAAATCTGAATATTTGGTGAGGTTGGAGCCTCATAGGATGGTTCCAAATAGCCACCATGGCCTAAAAACATCCTGGTCTCAAGCACCTCACCGGGGTTCCGAGGGACCCACATCTGGAAGAAGCAATCGCGAACCATCTGGAGTGTAGATGTCCACATTCTGCGAGTGGAGGCCATTGGAGCTAAAAGTTGAAAGTTTGAAGGAGGTGCCAGTGCACCACTCAAGTTTGGGAATGGCCTCAGCAAATTCAATAAGTCTATATGTATGTATAATATATGAATATATGTGTATATATGTATTTAATTGTATTTATACATATATACATATACATGTATATATATATGCCTATATATGCATATTGACACAACAGTTTTTTGTTGTCTTACTGCTTTATTGATTCTGCTGAGTATTGTCTTATCATATTGTTTATTCTTTATCTGTCTGTCGTTGAATGTGCTGGCAAGTTGGAGACAGGTGGTTCGGTTTCAAACCAAACATATTGGTCACTTCCAATCATCGCAGGCAGGCTGGAAAAAACAATATGATTCTGTGCATATAATATAGGTATACATATAAATCTAAAATATATCATACATACATACATACATATATATATACATATATATATATATGTATATATATATGTATACATATATATATGTATATATATATGTATATATATAATATATATATACACATATATATATAGGAATGCAGGGTATCCAGGTACCACTCCACTTCCATCATCCAGCGCCTGGAAAATAATGCCCCTTGACTCGCCAACTGGCACCTGAAAGTATGGCAAATGGTCCGTTTTCCAAAATGTTTGGGGAAACAATTCCAATGGCCATCATTCTTCGGGAATGTTTGTGACCAAATTGAACATGGTCCGCCAGTTTTCAAATGATGGCGTGCACTAACACTTTTTCTACTAGTGCCAGGCACGGCCAGAATTCTTAGGTTGCACGATCTTTTCAACTGTGACCAACGGCCATGGTGGCCTGCTTCGCGGGGCGAAAAGTGCCCGTGTCATGCGGAAAATTACTGCCAAATCCTCTCAAACTATCTCAAACTCATGAGTTGAGTTTCTGAACCTTAAAATCCACCGGCTCTTTCAGAGATTTCGGGTTGAAGATAGGGTCGACTATTCCGTCATATTCCATCCAATTGGTTTCCCATCGTCCATCGTTTTCCCTACTGAAATTGCAATTTCAGAGGCAAAATCCCCAAAGACAGCGCCTGAGGTCCGCATTTCAGCTGTAAGGTTTCTGGCTCACCTGAAATCTGAACCCAGTGAGTCCCCCCGAAAATGGTGATGGAAATGAATGAAGGGTGTGTGTGTATATATATATACATATAATATGATATACTTATTTGGGGCGTATATGTACATATAGTGTGTGTGTGTGTCTATATATATATAATGGTCACCCCCCCACCACCAGGGCCTAGCTTGAGTTTTTGTTTGTGGTATTTGCAGCAGAAAAACATTTATTTTCTTATTGTCCAGCTTTTTGTGTGATTTACATACTACCACACAAGTATGGTACAGTTTAACTCTTGTTTTCTTGCAGTTCCTCAATTGCCACCTGGTTACTCCGCATCCTAAGACTCTGAGGTTGCCTTCCCTTCAAAGTAAAGTAGCATTTGTAGAATTAGGGTTATGTTGTTCAAAAAATGGTTCACTTCTTTCATTGGGATGTAGTACTGCAACACAATCACATGGAAACACTAGAATAGTGTCTTCCCAGACTTCAAAACAATCTATTTCTAGTTGTTTAATTTTGCCACACGAAAGACATGATAAATATTCTGCCTGGAACTACATGACTTGAATTTCTCCACTGCAATCTTGCATTGTCTGTCGAAGTGCGTTTTCTTCTTTGGATTTGGCTACATTTTGAAACCTATATCGACCATTGGCATGAAGTAATCCATTTTGCACATGAAAGTGCTTTTTGTTTTTTTTAAATGGCATAAGCACTTAATTTTTATGGCATAAGCGCTTAATGTTTATGGCATAAGCACTTTTTATGGCAAAAACGCAGAGCTTTCAAGCTGTTGGGGATAGCACCTGAGTTTATTTTTTTGGTAGATACGAGTAGCAGATGGTTGACCTTGCAATGAAACAGTCAATGAAATAGAAAAAAAGGTAGGTCCTGGTGGGTATAATCCAACTTGAAACAAATTTTCTTGGAGTTCTAATATCAAACACGGGCATTTCAGAACTAGCTGGCCACGGGGGGACTGTCCGAAGAGGCCGAGCCCCCAAGCAGCAGCCAGATCCCTGCACCTGGCGGTTGGAGGCCAGTCCACTATTGTCTGCATCATCACAACTGGGGGGAATGATGGAAAACCATTTGAGCCATTTGAAGTATATACCCCTATCCCATCCTATTATACTGGTTGGTTGGTACATATTCCTATTATGGGTTATAATAATATGTAATGATATATAATAACTAATCATAATCCCAATAAACAATGGCTCATTTGGGGAGCACTTCCCTAGAACAGCAATGGGTGCACAGCACAGCACTGCCTCAATGACAGCATCCTCCGGATCTTTACCACACATCACATCTGCTCCACATGACAAGTTCACCTCGAACGGCTCCACGACAAGTGAAGCAAGGGCTGAAATTTAATCCCTTAGGACTTGGAAACAATGTCAGAACTATATTACATCTGACATGTCTCGAGTGTTTGATATAACATGATATAACCAAGATGTTTCATCTCTAGTTCTGACCTAAACACTATTTAAACATCTGAAAACATGTCGGAACTAAAAACACCACCCAAAATCATAGGGTTTTAGTGGTGGTTTCCGAACTTGGCCTCACCGGAACCATGGAAAAATCGTTGAAAGTGGCACAATTTTTGCCCAGGGACAGAGTGTCAATAGGCTATTGCAAATGCATCTATTTCAAATCCGTTCAAAAGACTTCGGTGCTTTGATATCATCATTTCAACATTTCTTCAATAAGAGGCCATCTAAGGGGAAAAAAACAACATGAGTGTTGTGTTTAGGTTGGCGAATATCAACATGATTCAACATGTATTCCCATAGTCCGTCAACCTTTCTTGCTGACCATATCAACTCACCAACCACTAGTTTGGCATGGCATGGCATGACCATCTCTGTGGAGCAAGTGGCGTCGAGGTCCTTCTTCAGGAGGTTGATGCTTGACCTGCAAGCTATGGCGTAAGTGCCTGTGTCTGTGGGATTCTTTGCCTAAACACTTTTAGAAGCTGGGTCGTTCAAAGATGTTCAAAGATGTTCAAAGCAACAGGAATTTCAATCATCATTCAGTTCATGGAAAATCTTACGTACTGTAAGACTCAAAATGATTCGCCCACCTAAAATGAGATTGGCTGAACGGGTAGTTGCGGGCCCTGGTACCCCGGTGTTCGCATCAAATAGCCGGTATTTATGGGCGTCAATCCTCCAATTCATGTGCAAGTATGTGTATGTGCAAGAATAGATAAAACCCCTCAATCCACCTGCTGATCATCATTTTCCAATATTTTCCCCACAACAAGTGCCATGTGTTGGGGTCGGTTGATGAAAAATATGAACAAAATCCAAGAAAACACCAAACACAAAACAGCCAAACATATTCAAACAAATTTTAAACATGAAAGGTAAAAAGTCGCCAGTCATTTTTTTCTCTCTCTTGGTGCCATAAAAAATCCAGCAACTGCACCTCGACAGGCCCGGAGATGTCACGTTGAAGAGCGCGTGGAACGCTTTCATCACCTGGCAGAATGGGGATTTAACGAAGCAACATGGGATCTATGAGGAAAAAAAACCACTTGATTCATAGGCTTCAGGAGATTCAGAAATTCATGGAATACCCATTTATATAATCCAACTAAGGTAGGGATTCCACTGACCCAAATGGGATCTATGGGGATTTTACTTAGAAAGGGCACCATTGAATGGTATGTTCCATGCCATTCTCCGGATGGTGAAACTGCAAAAAATGATCCCATCTGCGTCGCAGCTTTGACATGCTTTGACCTTGTCCTTGTACTCCTGGGTTGAACGATTCCAAGATAGCCATTGACAATACCCTCTGGTAATTTAACATAGCTATTGAAAATCACCATTTATAGTGAATTTTCCCATGAAAAATGGTGATTTTCCATAGTTATGTTAAATTACCAGAGGGTATTCAATATGAATCAATATGACCTAGGACCTATGTTGATCTATGCTGAGTGGCCATGGCCCGAAAATCCTCCAGCGGAACCTCCTCCAACTCCACAACACGTTTGGCCAGGGCCCCGGATTTCGCAAAGTCCATGACCTCCCGAGAAGACCCCAGCAGACCCCAGCGATCCGAAAAGTGATTCCTGGCCAGAACAACATGTACTGGAATCAAAGGCCATGTAGTACCAGACTTGATTATCTTGGTTTATCGTGATTTATCTTGGTTTATCATAGTTTATCACCAAAATTCGTCAACTTGGTTCATCTCTGATTCCAAAAATCCTATTTGACACGTCCAAAAGCTCGGTTTTTTAAACTCACGGCGCTACACTTCGCAGCCGCCGGCCTGGCAAGTGATGCGGTTCAAGGAATCAAGACATTCCACCATGGCGCTGTTGGTCAGATCGAAGATTCCAACCTCAGCGCTGGTAGAGTGTGACCCACAACAAACTTAGTTTGCAAAATGGAAACACAACAACAAACAAGAAAATACATCAGATAGTTAGAGAAAATAGAAAAGATATATTTTGTACTTTAAGTGATACAGTTTGTGACAACTTGTACCTGTACATGTATGATATATTGATCAAAAAGGTGGGATAACATAGCAATGTTTGGAACATGCAAATGGGAAATGGTATCAAATACCGATCCATTTCCGGACGGTAATTTCAACCCATCCAAATATCTGCCTCAATGCGGATTCCCAGCTGGGCAAGGCAGGAAAGTCGTTTGCGCTAGGGTATTCCTACTGGAAACCCATAGATTCTCGGAAAATTCCCCAAGCAAAATGTGGGGAACAAATATGGAAAATGGATATAGGAAACTCAAATTTCTATTGGTCGCAAAACTGAAAAACAAGCTTCTTGATGCCCTGATTTGCCCCGACGACCAGGATGTTTCTGCAACTGGGGCTGGTAAGGACTCACATAGTGATCCCGGTGATGGCGAGTTTGGGACTGGATGTTGTTCCTAAGGAGACAACCCAACATATCCTAATGTAAGTGCAGGTGTGTGAAAGTTAGTGAGCCTGTGACGGTTCACGGAAGACCCAAACCAGATCAAAACCTAAGGTTGGGACCAAACTGAAACGTGGCTTTGGAAGTGTTGGCTGCATGTAAGGTCCGAAATTGACGCCTTTTTTTGGTGCATAGTTTTTGCTGCTTGAAATGGTAAACTCAAAGCCAGAGGGGATGTCATCTATGCCAATCTATGCAGGAAGCGTCACCTCTGGACCGTCTGGGCTCCCAGGCTCTTCGAGCCTTATCGTCTTCTTTGAAGGCCACGGAACCACCCACCAACATGGCCTGGGTCTGGGTTCTGTGGGCCGATTGGGCTATGGCGGCGATGGTCATCCCACCATCATCACTGGGATTCCAGTGAGTGAGTTTACCACTATATATAAACTTATGTATATATGTATATGTATATATATACATATGTATAGTATATGATTGTATATGTATGGCAATTGGGGGGATAACCATCCCCTTTGGGAAATGAACCACGTTTTGACCGATGGCATGTATGGTCAAGGACCATGTTGAAAAATAACCCATGCTGGTGACAGCCTGCATGAAGCCGGATCAAGGCGCATCTTTGACACAGGCGGGGGTCAACAAATTAAAATTGCCCTAAACACAATCCCATGAAATATCCCATCCCTGTAATTAATATTAAAAGCCCCTAATAGTGACTATAAACCGTCCCAAAAATGCGTATTTTCCCTATGAAACCATGGTTTCTGGGAGATCTTTAATATCAATGGGAAGGGAGTAGCCACTTTCACAGAACACGCTGTAACAAAAGTTTCTCAATTGATTGTTCCGAAGATATATATTATATATATATCTTTTCCATATGAGCCATAGCAGCCATAGCATTTCACCAATAGGATCCTCCAAAAACTCCAACCGAGGTCGCAGCCACTGTATACTGACCCTGGTAGATGCTCAGCTGCAAAAACGGAAGCGGTTCGCGGTTCGCGGTCAACCTTTGAAGGTTCACCTAAGCCTTGGGTTGGGATAACCATTGGTTGGAGGAATTATAGGAATTATTGGTATCTTATCATTATCGTGTTATCAAACCATTGGGTGAAAAATTGGACCCAGGTATGACGTGTTGACGTGTTAACGCTCTTGAGCCCACTACAATTTATACACTCTGGTAATTTAACGTAGCTATGGAAAATCACCATTTTTAATGGGTAAATCAACTATAAATGGCCAATTCCAATAGCTACGTTAAATTACCAGAGGGTATATGTTCGTATCAGTATTACTACAATTTATATATGTTCGTATTTGATAGTATTTGTATAATTTTTGGTGGCACAACCAAATCCTCAACCCCATTGAGCCATTTGAGGAACCAATGCTGTGGGAAATGATCTCCCAATATTTTGGCCATGCAAAGTTGATGTTTCACTTTTTTAGCGAGAAGCAAATGCATAACAAAACTGGTGCCTATTTGGTGAACACAAAAAGAAGATCCAGGATTTCATCTGGTAGCTGTGTCAATCTCCGGTGGTTTCAACCCATCTCCGGTGCCACATGTCCAAAAACTATCCTGTCTTGCTATCAGCAAAGGATTCAAAGGTAGTGTCCAGAAAAAATAAGAGTCAATTGAGTCAAGTGGGATCCTCCTTGTGGACCCAGGAGGGCACCAAAATGTGGCCACAGCCTCCACAGGTAGCTTCCACCAGGAAAAGGTCCTGAGATCAGTTCTTCCGGAAGGTGAGACTCAGGTTCCCCCTCCATAAATACATGTTGTTGTGTTGGTGGATGGTTTTTTGGGGGCATCCTGAAAAGAATATCACTTGACAGACAAGAGCACCGGGCTGGAAAGCTTAACAAACCACGGCCACGTAGGTAAGAGTTGACATTTGCAACTGGAAGTAATCACAGCAACTTGTCTGACTCCAACATAATCCAAATCCAAATGAGTTCCAAATGCTTGAGTCATAACCAATCTAGGGCAAAACTAGGGGTTGGACTACCCAAGTTCAACAATGGCCCACAAGGATCCCCTGATATCCGTCCCCTGCAGCCCCAGTGACTTAAAAGTTGTCAGGATCGGGGTGAAGTGTTGGTCCAACATCACTTTCTCTGTGGCTTCACCACCTGGCGTCTCCGAGTTCTCCGAGTGGATGTCCACTTCATAAATCTTTGGATATCACATCTTGATATCTATAGATACTGTGTAATTCTATGCCATCTATATTATCCTATAGGGTATATATTATATACATAAAAGTTATGTGGATATATAAATATACAAGTACGCAATCAACTTAATCATGTCATTGATATGTGCTATGTTGTGGGTCAACAGCTAGTAGTATCACCAACGGCCAGTGCTCGGCTCCCGGGCCATAGAAACTGATGCCCTCAGCAAAGGAACGACACCGCGCATGCGCGGAGCGGAAGGAGGCCTCACACCTGGGGCGAGACTCTGTGCTGCTTCAGCCGGGATGATGATGTGCTACAATTATTTTATCTATATAGTCCAGATATAGAGGTGACTGGAGGTCCCATTAATTATATACAACCACATTATACTGCTAGTCTCCGCTACCTAACATACACCTACAATTTTACTTTACACTAGGCCAATTAAAGGCTTCTGCTTTTATTTTATAGATCCTTGCGAGTTGGAAGACGCCTTTTGGATCCTTCTTAAGATTTACAATTCCTGGGTGTTCCTGGTTGGTGTTCCTGGTTGCCGGACAACTGCAACTGATGTTGAACTTCCGCGCACTTGCGACCTGGCTCGCCATCATTTTTGTGGGATCAAACCTGAGATCGACATTGATCCATTTGGTCAGAAAAACCCAAAGAAAATGATCCGTTCAAGAAATCCCACAAGAAAGGACGTGGGAAAGGAATGCAAATGGCCGGCGGCACCGAAACGCTCAACCTCAGCTGAAAATCAGATTTCACCCAACAAAACGTGGGGATTTACTTCCATATTACAGTAACTGTAACTACTCCCTTTTTTGGGGCCCCAATATATAGGAAATATGGTGCCCCACAATGAATCGATCCAATGCAAAACCAGGGTTTCTGAAGGTATTTAAATGTACCCTCTGGTTATTTAACATAGCCATGGGAAATGGCCCATTTATAGATGGTTTACTTATGGCTATGTTAAATAACCAGATGATATTTAATATATGAAGGGATTTCACATGTTTCAAGCGAAAATGGAGACAACACCACCGAAGATGTCAAGACATTGGGATTCACCCGCAGCTGGAGATTCTGAGGATAGGCCACTATGGGAAATGAATAGAATAGGGATAGGCCCGGCCTGGATAGGGCTTCAAAAATATGTTCTAGTTTGGAATATCAGACCAAAATATTCAAGATGAAGGAAAACCAACACATTTTGGATGTGTTTGTGAAAGTGTTGAGTTGGTAGCTTTCACATGCTTTCCACCCCACACACATCCCATCCCAAAAATGTCCCAGGTGTCCATGCGATCAAGAAGGTCACCTGAGGCACCGGGTCAACTTTGAATGACCCACTTTAGTGGATCATTCCCGACCCCTGCTTGCGGGTGCCTCAGAGTTAGTAAGTGGATGATAATCCCAACCCCTATATATATATATATACATATTGGTGTATTACTACCATATTTATCCATATTTAACTGGATTATAATGGGGTTGTTGCCCACTTTGTAGCTGCGATGCACATCCAAGTTCAGAGCTTGACGCATTCCCAAATGTAGTCGGGTAGAGTATGTAAAGCATTGTTCTGAAGTGATGGCATATGCATCTTCATGCCGCCATCATGGCTAGGTCCTAGGTGAAACTGCCATGCCATCAGCTGGCACAGCTGAAGTAGGCCCGGAATATTGCCTGGACCCACTGCCACAACAAGCCCTCCTCTGCAACTGGAGGCGCTGATCCTGCGACCTCCACGGCATCAAGTTTGCCCGTCAATTTCTTCAGTCCATCTGTGGCGAGGGCATCTGCCGTCTTTCCTTGGGCTCTGATCTTCTCGTCCAACTCTTTTGCGCCCGCTTTGACCTGCAAGTTGGTCATCCTCTTGGCGGCCTTTTCGATGCCTTCACATACTTTAGTTGCTGCCTTCTCTTTCTTTTGATCCGCATCATGTCCGGGCATCTCCTCCATGTCAGAGGTAGGCACCGCCCAGTGGTCGCCTTCTTGATTCTCTTCTTCCGCCTCCTCCAAGGATTGAGACTCCATAGCGCCGCTGGAAGAAGTGACTTGTGCCGCTGTCTTGTTGGCCGTTAGCCCCAGCTGCACTTGGAACTCATCATCCTTCACTGGAATGACCTCATGCTGCTTGGACGCTGTGCCCACTCCTTGTCTGGCCAGCAGGTTGGCCGCCTTCTGGCCTCTCTTCCCCCGTTTCTTGCCCTTGCTTTTCTGGATCAGCTGGTCCATGGTCCAAAGTGTTGGAACCTTGCTGCGCACAACAAATTCTCGCCGCAAGGACGTGTACTCCTCACGCTTTTCCGGATCCATCGAACACTCATAGGCCTCACCATTAAGCACTCGGATTTTCTCCTCGGCTGGTTTGGGTTCCGATCGGGGTGCCACTGGAGAACTAATCGACGGTAGGCTGCCTTGCTGGTCCTTTCATCCGCATCCTTGTCGATCTCGAGGACGGCGTAGTCTTCGACTTCCATGGCGATCATCCCGAACTAGCAAAGAGCGCACCTCCGCAAAGCGTCACTGATAGCGCTATTGACCCTTCGCAAGGATGTGAGCCCCTAAAATCAGGTCGATCTTGAATGAAGTTTGAGCCAAAATGGCTGTGGTGATTCACGGGGGTGATTCACCTCGCATAGACAATCAGTGATTTTTGCATCGCTTCTTCTATAGGGAGAGATAGGCCCTATTCTACTTCCACGTTGGACTCATAATGCCAAACGACTCCAAGGACTACAAAACCATGAGCAGCCCAGCCCGTTGTGGGGTCACTTTACCCCATCAACTAGCTGTATCATCCCATAGGGATTACATGGGATTACTGCTGGTTAAATCCCCGTAGCTTTTCCGGTTTCAACAAAACAAAAAGCTACCATTTGCTACCCCATCTTTGTTGCTGAAATCCCAAGTTTGCTAGCAGGATCCTGCTTTTGTTGCTTACATTTCCTTACAACTACATTACATTTTTGTTGATCAAGAACCTGTCTTTTTTTGTGTCAAAGCCCAATTTGTTCTGGGTCCTCCCCCATGATCCATTTCCCACGTGAGGTGCCGCACTAAGAACAACGCGCTGGCAGTGCAGGGTGCTGCACCGCCCATACCCGGCAGGGTTCTCTCCTTGGGGTGTTCAGTATGGGAGGCTTCCCCGAGCGTCAAACACCAGGGGGGCTTCTGATGTTCAGACTTTCGGTGGAATATCTTGAGATTCTCTCAATTCAAAATGGATTGCCAAGACATCCCATGATCATTTTTGCCTACGTTTGGTGTTTTCTAAGCTCATCGAAGCTCAATGCATACAGTATGGTTTCCCCATGCAAATTTTATGCTTGACCACCATGTGGATCCTCAACCCACATCACCAGCAACTTCCAGGGCCCCCACAACGTCCATCCACACGATCCAACAACTCACGATGAAGATCGACATCTGGCGTCCCACCATACATTCACAGCACAGGATTCATGTCAACTGCTTCATGAAACTGGTTGATCAATTGCATTCAAATTAGGATCAATTAGATTCAATTAGCAGGTTTCATGATCGGTTTCATGGGGAGGCTGCCACCAATCCTGATTGTGGGATGTTGTGGGTATGATTCATAGAGTCAGTCCATGAATTGTTTCTTTCCAGTTGGGGGTTCCACTTCTAGGACGGACCCAACCGCAGAAACATGATCATTCTTGGAATCCAACCAACAACCCATTAATTACCATCTTACATCATCTTACAGTACCATGCTTTACCAAATGTGGTGCCTTCAAAGGATCAACGACCAAGTAGACACAGGGATACAGCTCCTCACAGCAGCTCCCAGCCACCTTGAATAGAACTCCGCTGTCAGGTTTCATAATTCCACCCAGGAAAAATTCGAAACTGAACTGCATCAGCAGATCAACCTCGCAGCACCGGCGGCCATCGGAAGGTCGGAAGGTCTTCAGCTGTCTGGTGAATCCAAGGCGCATCGTTGGTCATCCGCTGATCGGAGGCTTCCACCCGGCTATCCAGGTTGCTCAGAACCTGAAAGTGCAAGGCTTGTGCCATCCATCACTGGGAAAATGTTGGAACATCTGGGAAACCTCTAAAAACTGCAGCTTGTTGCACCTTAATCTTCGAAAAATGGGATTAGTAGACTTCTGGAAACTAGAATTGTGATTAATTATCATGAAACTCTACAGTAAATACTAACAAAAATGACATTAGACTAGAATATGTTTATCTAAGAGAGGCCCAAAAAAAACGGAAAAAACAATGTAACGCGTATATTATACATGCTTTCAGATGTTCGTTGGATTTGGGACATGTGACCATTTGACATGTGTTGCTTGTTTCGGGTGCTGCATCTTTTGGCCATTGCCGGAATCCACTGGTGCTGTCAACGGGAGATGCAAAAAAATCATACCAAGTACCCTCTGGTAAACTGTCACATAACTATGGAAAATCACCATGTTTAATGGGTAAATCCACTATAAATGGCCATTTTCAATAGCTATGTTAGTTTACCAGAGGGTATTCCGGGATATTCCGAGTATAATCGCTCCTTTGTTTGGTCTCTCTGTACAATAAGAAGTTTGCCAAGGTTCCCTAAGGCCCTAAGGCCATAAGTTCAATGGGACTTGTCCGGAATCAACCTTATCCTCTTGAGTCTATTATGAAGCTGTGATACTCCCTGGCTGACCCACCGACACGCAAACGAAACATCGTTTTCATCCTGCCACCAACACTGGTACGGACTTTGCTCCAATGGTTTGATTCTGAAATCTATCCCATCTAGAATATCCATTCACTTCTTAGTGGCTCCAACCCATTCCTCCAAAAAGTACGCATCAACTGGCCATTCCTTCTCTGACCACGGGGTTGAAAACGCAACTCTCAAATTGACCAGCACCCCACGACCGTTCAAAACTTTCCTCAGCACCCGACGTAGTAAATTCGGTCTGAACTTCCTCGGGAATTGGATCTGGAAGACTTGCAATATCAATACCTCCATATTTACCTCCATGCATTCTGTTCCAAGGTGGACATTCTTGACACCTTTAATATCCTTTGATGCCCTTTACACTGAATATTCCCAGAGCTGTTCAAACATGTTCAAACTCATCTGCCCTCCAGCTCTCAAAAAAAATCCCGCCACCCCCACACAGATAGAAGACTAAAATCCTACTACTATACAGTCTGAATCTGCTTTTCTATCTTTTTGGTGATGAACATCATGGAGCTTGAGGGCCCAATATGGCCCAATTGTAACCCACCCAACACTAGGAGTGTAATAAGCCCCTTGCCTCTAGCGGGGGCACCCATGGATTTCCACAATCGTTTGTCTGAACATGGGCTACCTTCAGAATATCCTATTAAACAGCCATTTGGGGGATATATATATATACTGTATATATATACTATATACGAGCCCATTTCCAGACAAAGCCATGTTCATCAAAGCAAACAGCAAACACAGTTGTTCCATATTTTCTCCATCAATGGGGGGTATAAAAAAAAACGATGGGTGGTTTTTGATTACCCATGGATTCCGTGCCGAGCGTCTCAAATATCTGGTCTGCAAGTGGCTGAACAGCTTTGAGCGCCTGCTGGAGGCAGTGACTGGGGATGAACCATCCACAGGGCTGACCCTGGTTTATTTTTTTGGGGGGGTACCCCTCCAATAGTCATTTTAGATGATACATAAATGGTATCCCCCCCAATTAAACAGCCGTTTGGGGTTTAAAAAAATCCAGGGTTGACATTACAGGGCTGTCCTATCTTTCCTGCAAGATTGTCCCTTGACCCACCAAAAAACTAGGGGGGTTCATGAGGATTTCCACCTTACCCTCTGGTAATTTAACATAGCTATTGAAAATCACAATTTTTAATGGGAAAATCCACTATTAATGGTCATTTTCAATAGCTATTTTGACATAACCAGAGGATAATAGACAGCGGGTTGCCCCTGAGGAACAGACCATTCCAACATCAGCAGCACCGAGAAGTAATTCGCGATGGCCTTCACCACCTGGCTGGCGCCAACGCGCCAACGATGGACTCCGAAGTCTTGCCGAATGATGTTGTGATAGCTATATATATATACTGTATACTGTATATATAATATATATATATATTATACATAATATGCAGTCATATATATATATACATATATATATACATACCCAGTATGTATATGTACATACTACTCACATCTAATATATTGATATCATATAACACAAGCAAAGCTGATGAATCCAGGTCCGTTTCCTGAGCTGCCCAACACCTAATGCAGGTCCCCAGCAGAGGATCACCGGCAGCATCCGTGAGAAGGAGATATCAATGCCTGGCAACAAAAAACTGGGGTCAAACCGATTTGTTTTGGCTGAATCTTAGAATGAATGGATAATTGGATATAATTATATATATATATGGATATATGACTGGCATATGGAAATTCTAGAACTAGACATAAAAGTAGAAGTGGTGTATTTTAAGTGAAAAATGACAGTGAATGAAGAAACTATGACTTGTGATAACTTCAGCATCTGTTCATTTCCACGGAGTCATTTTGGAGTTCATCCATTTGGTTGATGGGAATGTCAAAGTGTTTCATCAGTTTTGTTGCTCATCAACTTTTCCATGTGCTTCTCCAATCTTTCAATGATTCATGGACTTCACTTCTTTTGCAAAACACAACATATTTGGCATCTGTCTATACATATATGTATAATCATATATATATGTACAAACATATACATGCATGTGTATATATATATATATGTACATATAATATCATACATAACATTACATAACCATTGTATTAATGACAAGGGTCATGAAAGATCTCCTACGCTCAACGTCCGGCAGTAACATCCCGTTTCGCAGCCCGCTGAGCCCCGCTGAGCGCGTGGCTGGTTTGACGTCCAAAGGCATGGAAGCTGGCCGTGGTGCCGGGCTTGATGACCTGAGGGGACGAGTCACGAAAAATGTCCATCACTAGACATGGATAAAAAATATGGAAATCAAGTGACAACATGGGATGGAAATAAAGTGACTATGGATATCACTAGAAATATCACTAGAAATATCACTAGAAATATCACTAGAAATATCACTAGAAATGGGATACTGTAGAACTCATTTTATTTCCATCACTAGATATGGGAAAGACATCACAAGATGTTCGTGCATAAATGGGGGATAAGATGGGATAGTTGATGATGGTTAATAGTGAATCAAGCCACACATATGAAGATAGCACATGATATCAAAGTAAAATGGATTGGGACTGGTGACTGGTTGTTGATGTTCTTTTATGTCAAATAGATGGATGTGTGTGTGTGTGAAATGGGGTATGCCGCTATGCCACCAAAAAACATTGCCATCACATAAGATAATTGGCGAAAAATAATCATTGATCAATGGACTGGGGGTACACACTCAGATGTTCTTCAATGGTTCAAGTTCAAGGGGATTTGGACCCGCAGACCAACAGCTGCCAAAACACAGAGAAATTTATCAAAGCCGGCAGTGGAATGTGGCAAAAGTCGTAAGCCATGCTTCGATTTGATGTGTATCTATGTGAATACAAGGACACTATGTGTATGACCGTATGACCGCAACAATGACAACTTTGACTTAGATCCGGACACTTTTTGTGTTGGTGAACAGTTCAGCCTGGCACGGCACTTGTGCTTCAAGCTGGGCCTGTTCCTCCAACGAAGCCACACTTGACATCGGCACCATCTCTATGGCCATGATGAATAGCCCAATGTGGTAAACCCATGTAAACCCATGCAAACCGACCATGAAGGGGATGGTGCAGATGGCTAATTACTATTAATTCCCAATGTATACCGTCCGTGGGTGGTTGTTTTTCGTTCATGGTTTACTGGCACCGCCCTGCGCGCCCAGAAGGCCAACATCGCAGCTGCCAACAGGTTCAACAGGGCCACCATGGCGAGTAACCAAGACCTTTTTCTTGGCGGCGTTACGTCGGAAAGGGCCGGGGAACTCATGGGACTTATGTGGGGATTTTCATCCATGGGCAGTTGCGGTGTGAAATCTCCCGGGAATTAACGGGAAAAAACGGAAACAAATGAAAGATCTAATGGGACAAACATGATAATTTGATGAATTTTAATGGGATATACATGGATATACAAAACACCCCAATTTGGTGATAGACCCTGAGAATCATCGATCTTTGAAGGAACGAATTGTCTTCCAACCACGAGTGTCATGGATTGTTTATAATGATCCAGGATGGTACAATATGATCAATGCAATATATGAGATACTTAACTATGGGGACTTTTGACCAACCATAACCTGGGGAGATGTCAAAACAATCATGGGCAAAATTTTGTCAAAAAACCTGAAAGACGACATCATCTGATTTTTGGGCACCCTATGTTTAGACAGACCCATTAATATGGCCCAATGGAAGGTTGAAGATTTCTCAACAGAGATTGGATGATACTTTCTGGTGGCTTTGCCTACTCAAATCACAGAACATGTTGTTATCTTGCCATAAAATGGTCCCCTTGCTCAAGTTACAACATCTTGATCAGTTGCAGTCGCCATTCCTCGCAAGCTGCAGTTTATGAACATGTTGCCAGGATGGTCATGTTGAGGATTGGTTCTCATAGTATTGAGCCATACTCTTGTTTTTCACATGTCAATGGAGTCTTGATGGGGATCTACCCTCTGGTAATTTAATATATTGAAAATGACCATTTATAGTGGATTTTCCCATTAAAAATGATGATTTTCCATAGCTATGTTAGTTTACCAGAGGGTAATGGAACTTATTGGAATTTGGAATCTCACATGGTTTGATGCACTTGTCGATACTGCAACAGTTGAATCGAAGTATCGGACACAGCTTGCTGGGGGTAAATAGAACTATAATCCATCCACCATCTGAGCAATGATCAAAATCCCCTGTCGTGCCTTTTTAGTGGTTCGTTCATAGGATTTGCATTTATGGATTGTGATAAACCCGGTTGGGTAGTATATAATTCCATATAATTAATCATCAACCAATCATCATTTATCAGTTGTGTCCACTTATATCTCCACATTTTCATGTTTAAAAATGTTTGAAATCTCTATGAAAAGCCCAAGAAACATCAACCAACCAGGGCTTTCAAAGCTTCATCTGTCACCACGACCACCCCCCGTGTGTTCACCACGGTGGCGTACTGGGTCCAACTAAGTCGGGCGATGATGCCCAAGTTGTAGGCTGCACCGTTCTGGCGACGTAGACCAGCGCCAGAAATGTGGTTTAAATACCATGCTTCTAAGGATGATTTGATGGAATAAAAAATGGTATTTCATGGGATTTTATGGTGATATACTGGGATATTATTAGTTATTGATAATATACCCATTCTTTTAAGATTCCCAGTATAATATCCTGACCATTGACCATTGACCATTAATGGTGGATATATTGACCATTGACCATAGTTTTATATTATATAGTTAATGGTGGATATAATCCCATCCTTCAAGAGTCAATACCCCCATGGTCAATGGTCCCAGTCATATGTGTAAATTCCCTACATCCACCATGGGTTGCAAGGGGTGTTTAATAATAATTAGGGAGAACGGATTAGACATCAAAAAAAACAACTTCAATTCTGAAACTGTGATTAATTGAATTAATTGTGTTTTTATCTTTGGGATTGATTGAACCTAATCATAGACCCCAATTGTTTCAACTTGTTTGAAGGTGTCCAAGCCACCCCACATCGTAACATTACAGAGGACAAGTCATGATGAATAAGTTTCTCATTGGGTTTTCCACATAGATTGTATATAAATATACATAAATATCATGTAAATTGAGGATAAAAGAATACAAGAGATGTGATTCATAAATTTCATAAGTCAAATGTCAACCACTAAGAAAAGCTACGGCCTCCGGCCATCATTTTTGACACCACTAATATGGCTAGTCAGCGGCTAGTCTAAGGGAAGCATTCGGAATCATCCACTGAGGCTATGGCCGCTATGGCACAGATAGCCTCTGGGTAGTGGTTGCTATTCGGATTGCTATGCAAAATCACCATTTGAGTAGGTAAGTCATCTACATGTGGGCCATTTTCCTCTATATAGACTCTATGCTCAAGAACCAGAGGATAATGTGAATGGCATGAATGAATATGAATGACACATACTTCCATTTCTTATCATTTCCTGCGTGGAAATTCAAAATCACAACAAGACAGAGACCACAACCCACCTTGGCAAATTCTTCAGAATCATTGGAGTAAGGAGAACCTCAATCTGAAGAAAATGATGGACCGAAGGCCCAAAGAGCCATGTCCATCCATCGGGGCTTTGACCATGGGGATTCAATGGGATTTAATCAATAAGAATTGGGATTTAACCCTCAAATATAAAATAAACTCAGGACGCTGGATCGTTTTTACCATTCAGTAAATCTGGGTTTCCTGTAAATTGTCCCGGAGTCCCGGCAGTCGAGAAGCATGCCATTTTCAAAGTTCATCAATTTTGGACGGAGAGTGCAGACTCACAAAAACTGCATGAGTATCTTCTTGGTAAAGTTATATCCCACAACTTACAACATAGTTTTAGTATATCTTAGTATTGGTTACGGTTATATATTGGTTATATCCCCATAATATCAAGGGAACTCGTGTGAAACAGAGTCACTTGAGATCGACTCAGCATCCCCCTTTTGGGTGATATGACTCAATGACTTGACCAGATATGTCTCCTTCGCATCACATCTAGGGAGCGGCACGCACTCCCGTTTCCGCGCTGGAGACATCCATGGCCTGGCCCAGCTGTCCAAGCCCAAGGCAAGGTCTTGCCGATTTTCGCCATGGCAAATCACATAGTGAAAACCATGTTCAGTCATGTTCAACTTATTTTTGGAACCTTGCATTATAGATACCCAAAAGGTTGGTTGCACAGAATTTCCGAAAATGAACCCATCAAGTGTGAGTCATTTCTGGGAAATCATCCAATCCTAGCATTGGATTCACAGAAAAACTACAGCAAATACCTTGATCATCCTTGATTACTTTAATTGGGTCGGAAAAAAACGAGCCGGTTTCCTGCAAATCATTCAGAATTTTAGTTGCTTCATTTTTTTGTGATATCTTCATATCTTCACTTCATATTTCTGGATGAAATACTGTGGAAGAAATCCTGCATCACCAAACGGATGGTCAAACCCGCATAAATCGGATAAAACACCGATCAACTGGCCGGTGATGGTGTCCAATCCTGATCCTGGAAGCTCTCAGTGATGGTATCCAGCGGCACGTAGTTGGGTTCCTCCTTGCCATCGTGGCCCATGGATGAGGATTGAACGCCTCGAAAACCATGGAAATATGACAAATATATACATATATATATAATTATATATATATATATTTAATTATAAATATATATATATTTATAGGTTATATAATTATATATATAATCATATAATATATAATTGTATACATACTGTATAATGTTATATAGTACTACCTTGATATATTATCACCAATACCCTCATTATATCATAGTAGAAGTGCTTTGTATATATATATAGTTGTATATATATACCATAATACTATTATTATTATACATTATAATGGGATACAATGGAGTCTTTAACTTACAATCAATATTATGGATGGGTTTATCTGAACATGTTGGATAAACAAAATCTAATTGGTTGATAATGTTACTTCCATTCTTGGACAAAGCCATTTCAGGTTGCTCAGGGAATCCCATTCTTCTCACCTGCTGAAGTTACTAAAGTCCAGCACCCTGCCATAGCGGCCCTTGGCCTTTGTTATAGTCGACATCATGAAGGTTACCAAGTCGGGTGCGGATTTCACCTGCCACTTTCGCACACTTGAGAACCAACACAACAATGTCAAAACGTCAAGCACTTAGGAAAAGAAAAACATGTGGATCTCGGATGGCATAAACCTTGAAACCTCATCTGTTGTTTTCAGTGGCTGGTTCCAAGGTTTCGGATACGGCACATAAAGGGACTCGTCGACTTTCAAGCTGGGCGAAACTCGCTGGCTCGGTAGCATGGTCTTCGCAAACTTTCAGGCACTTTCAATGCCGATTATCTGGGTATATATGTCCAAAACAATATCAAAATATGAGGGTGCAAGCAGCGAAAAATCATAAAATATCATCAAATACATTGAAGCTTCCCCCAATCCGAGATCATGGATGATGATATTTGGTGATGTCTCCGGTATACCCACAACCACTTTTCCGTGGTTCCTAAGCTCTTGGACCATCAACCCCAACTGCTGGACATACCCGTGCAGCATCAAATTTGCCGGAGGTTGCCTTCACAGCACCTCAAACCCATTCCAAAGCCATTGGCTTCCACAGCCAAGGTCCACAAAGTTCAGGACACAACATATGGGTTTGTCCAAAAATTCAGGGTTTTAACCCTTTCTATGGCTATTCAATGATATGTACGGGGAACATGATAAACACATATTTTATAAAGCATGGGTTTTGGTTTGGGGGGACCATTTTCAAACAAACCCAAACGTTGGAAAATTGCTGCTCTTCTTCAAGCATTCCCTCTCCAATACCTCCGCCGTCTTCCTTTGCCTTGGCCTTCGGTAGGTTTCCGCAAGCTCCTCTCTTCATCGTGTTCCAAGGCTGCGGCAAAGCAGGCATCGGCGAAAGACTCGCCAGCTTGCATGGGAACCAACGATTCCTCTGAGTCAGGAGACTCCATGGTGGACTCCATATACTGCGTGGTGCTTTCAACCAGCGGCTCTGGAGTAACCACCTCAATCTGGGTCTTGTCCTCTACCTTCTTCCATTCGCCTTTCGCAGCCTTCTCACCTTTCCCTTTCCCTTTTCCTTTCCTTCTGCCTTTTCCTTTAGCTCCTTTGGCTCCTTTGGCTCCTTTGGCTCCTTTGGCTCCTTTGGCTCCTTTGGCTCCTTTGGCTCCTTTGGCTCCTTTGGCTCCTTTGGTTCCTTTCCTTTCATCTCTCCAATCATCTTCCACCTCATCAGCATCCTCCACTGCTTCAAGCGGTGCTGGTGCCGCCCCGTACTCTGCATAAAACTCCTCCACGTCGGGTGAGGCATCTGCTGCGGCACGGAACAACTCGTCCCATGACGTCATGGCAAGGGTCTCAATGGGGCAACTCAAAATCCAAGGCCCTTTAGATCTTTGGGAAAAGTGCAGTTTTTTCAATTGCTGCATCACTGTACAGTCCGAAAAATGTGTCCATTTCTGGCGTACGTAATTATCCAAGTTTGACATAGTTTGATTGATGCCCACCTGATGGTCCAGGTCTATTGTATGAACAATGTGACAACCGATAAAATACCTTGTTTCAGAAGAAATAGGGCAAGAGACAAAACAAAAGGTTAGCCACTGATATCTGTGATGTCCATTCCTATGCTATCCCAATATTCCTGAAGACGACTGACAGTCAAATCCCTTGCGTCATCTGCGCGTTGATTTTGCTCTAAGCTCCACAGGATCATAAGTTCTGTCTTGAGCCTGCTCCTCAGCTTCAAAGCTGCAAATGAAGACAACTTTCAAGATTTCTAAGATGAGCCTTGGAGCTGATCCTCCATTTTTCTGTGTACCAGGAAATTGAACAGCTGAAAATCTGCTTCCAGCGCCACAGCTTTCAGATCGCTGGAATTCAACATCTGAATTTCATGTTGCTATATGTTGCTTCAATGAACATCAGCAAGACATGGCATCCCACCTTGGCGAGGCGCGCTAACATGGGCGTCTTGGGCGAGGACATCCATGAGGTCATCTCGAACTCATCGTCCTCGTCGTTCCCGTCATGCACCGGTGTGTTGCACAGGCCTAGCGGAGATGTGCCCAGGGGAACCATGGGGGGTTCCACATGTGAACGTTGACCCTAGAGAAAAAAAAACAGCAACACTGGAACAATACCAGGATTTTGTCCAAGAATGAAGGGAACCTGAACTGGATGATTTGAGATGATTTGAGAAGATGTGATGACCTCTTGTGCAAACGTAGGGAATATGCAGCACATGAAGCACGCCCCATGTGTTGTTTTTTTTTTTTTGTGGGACAATGAAGAAAACTGAAGATCATCGATAAAACCATTGAATTCTTGGGTGCCCCATGTTCAGACAAATCCATGTCAGAAATTGGAGGAAACTCATCCAGAAATTGGAGGCTGTAGATTCAGATATCAAAAGCCTGCCAAACTTTGGGAGGAAATGGTCAAACCACGTTCTTTTAGATCCTCCAAGCAACCGTACCTGTGAGGCTCGAGAATGATTGGTTGCAAAGGCCACCAACGCCTGACAAATGCTGAGATTGGGTTGTGAAAACTGAACATGATCTAACATGCCATTCAGTGAGCCATATCAAAAGTGTATGATATGTTGTGATACTGCATCTCAATAACACATTTGAAACTGAAGGTGGCCAAATCAATTCAACAAAAGATCAGAATTTCAAGCGCTTAGTGCCAGCAGTTTGAACACGGATGTGGCTCAATGTGTTTTTCGGGCTGTAAGATCCAGGGCATTTTCAGTAGTAAACATCCCATGTTCGATCATTTTCTTGTATCCCTATCTTGAACCATACCCAAATCAAGTGTCACAACAGACTTGGCTCATGACCTCTTCTTGTTTTGGACATCGCTCTGCGGGTATTTTGCGGCCTCCATTCCTGGAAACCGTGAAACAGCTCCCAGGCTCCGAGGCTGTTTTCTCTGTCTGAACTATTTGGCTTTGAAAAATGGTGAATCCAACAGGCAATACATGGCAACAAAAATGGCAATTCGAGGGAAAATCATGATCATCCGTTGGGTTTCACTGGTCACAGTCGTGGAATATCGTGGAATCCCCTCTAAGACTCTAGCACGTGAGTGAGAACACCAAACTTGCTAATGATGGGATGTTCGCCCCAAATATATGGAATGGTATGGTTGATCATGTTTGATCCATACCCAATCATACCCCATTATCTTCTCTCCAGATAGGTTTATTAAAATACTCTACGAACCTCACCAAGGCCCTTTCCGACAGCATCTCCTCATTTTGGAGCCCCTCATTGTGAATCTGGGCCGCAGACTCCAACCTCAAGAGAGATAGCAGCATGGGATATCAAGTGGACAATCACTAGTTTGTGTTGTATCATATAAGTATAAATTATATATCATCAGTCCGGAAACATCATGTATTGTATGTGTATAATATATATAATATGTATATAATATGTATATGTTCTATACACATGTGGCAGTGTGTCAAAACCTTGTACCCCTGGTGAACATCAAAATAGCTGGTAAATGGATGTTCATCCCCCTAAAAATGGTATTAATAGGTATTGATCCATACCCATATATAGTATGTTCTATACACGTACAGTATGTCTGTGTATCATGTGTATCATTGGAATTGTCCATATGCATCGTACAGCCATTCTCCCTGCAACTTCTAGGGACCGGTCCTGGGGCTGTCAGTTGCTGTCAGATTTTTTGTGGTATACCCGCAGATTCAGCAATGTTTAGATGGACAATACCAGCTGCTTGGTGGTTTTAACCATCTTTAAAAATATTAGTCAATGGATGTCAATGGGAAGGATTCTCCCATATATTATGGAAATTTATGGAAAATAAAAAATCTGTGAAACCACCAACCAGCCAGTATTGTGCAATTATGATTAATCACTGGGTGACTGGTTTTGGGATACCAGATTTTCAGACCCCAAAAAAATCATCGACAAATAGTGGATGTAGTGACCTCTTGCCATCGCTCAGGGGAGGTTCAACATTTCTCCAGGCCTCCAAGGTAACCACAGATTCATGATGATTTATGCCATTCTGAGCTGTAGAATCAGGAAAACAACATCATGTGTTGATATGTTTTTTGATCTACCCGGATTGTGAACCCTTCCGATCTAATCTAGAAAGGTTGTCCAAAACCCAAGATATGGCTCAACAACCGGGCACCAACGGACCCACACAATTTCTCCTTTTTACTATTCAACCATGCCAAAACTGGGGTCAAATTTGAAACTGTACTCAATTTGATGATATTCCACTTCAACATGGGAATTATATGGGAACTATATAGGAATTATACATGAAACATCTTCCCATTTCCATGTCCAAATGGACAGTTCCATCCAAGAAACGCCATCTCTGCCGCGTCCCGCAGGCGACAACAGAGTTCACGATCCCTGCGCGTCTGCAAAAATGGCTGACACCCGAAGATGTACTTTTCTTTGGTTCATATGGTAAAATGTACTACAGATATTACTGTACATATCATGCTTCTATGGTGTCATCACAGAGAATGTGAAAGGCAATTGGAACCCCATTCCAGATGGATTGAACATAAACATAGAAACCACCGAAGAAATGACCAAAGCTGTAGTTCCTTTTTTGCCTCTGAAAATGTGGCCATTGTTATCTACATGGCCCCCAAAGCGGTGGCGCCGTTTAATGTCATCCCAGTCATCCCAGTCATCCCATCCCCGGTGAAGCCGAGGCTCTTGTCGAATGTGAAATGCAGAATCTTATTGTGAAATTGAATGACCGTAGGCCTGGGCCGGGCGGACTGGTCCCTGTCGGCAAAGTGTGCTGTGCAAACAACAGGGCAATTTACCGAACGATTGATCGCGTTTGGAGTGACAGCTGATATTTGCGCAAAGGACCTACAGCTGTATCACTTTGGATGTTGGAAATCTGGTCACTGCAACGAGGTATAACGAGGTATGAGTTTACTGATAGTCATCCTTTTGGAGATTGGATGAAGCAGGGAAATGCAGGCATAGTTTATACATTTATAATTCATGTTTATGTGTATATATATATATATGATGTGCTCATCATCCAATCACAATTTGGGATTCCAAACTCATGTTGGACATATATAGACCCTTTATTGATAGTCGAGCATTACATTGGTCGTGATCTCGTCCTGGCAGTGAATAAAATCATCGGACTAAATGGTGGCATGGCATGGCCATGGCCATGATTACCAGAGGGTAAGAAGTCAATGGATTGGCTTAAGGGAAAATCTAGAGGAAACCATAGATTTTACCATGAAGATCATGGGGGGTTCATGGGTTCCTGTAATTTTTCCCTTAAGCCAATCCATTGAACAATCAGAAGTAAACTTCAAGTCGTTCCTGGGTCCCTAATGTCCCCTGTCATTTTCCACCAACCAAGGAACCGGTGTGCGACGCTGAGGTAGCCCAAGTTTCTCTCGCGGCAAGCTTTGTACACCTGGCCCGGAGCTTGCGGCAGGTGGAAATAATTGAAATACGAACCTGCAAGCCACTGGCATGACATCAATTCTTATGTACCAATATATATATATGCATCAATTTATTACATATTATTATGATATATATATATTATAATACACATAAATGATGTTAAATGGATGTTCTAATTCTATTGAATCCTATATATCAAAGATGGCTGTTCGTCAAAGATGGCTGTGCCCTTCTCAACATTCAGTGGGGCCGATGCCGCTGTTTATTACAACATGATTTGAGAGATTGCAGAAATGACTGAGTATGTATATGCAGCGTCTTCTTCTTGTAGGGTCTTTGGGGTTTAGATGGGTTAGGGTTTAAGTTTTTGAAGAGGTTTAGGGTTTGGGGGTTTTAGGGTTTTAGGGTTCACAGTTTGGGTTCCTCGTCTGAGAAATAGTACAAACACATACAAAACAATGTCCCGCTTGAACTTCTGCAGTAACTGGGTCCGTGGAAGTATCTTTTATGGTGCTCCACACGTTCCGCAGAATTATGTATTCATATATATATATACATATTGATTAGATATATACATAGACCAATTGTAATCAGCAAAGTGGGGTGTATACAGTAAGTACGCTATAATCATATGATACTTGTATCATATGCATCATATAAGGATTGTGTACTTGTGTTGTGCTGACAGCAGGCCGCCCTGATCAGCACCTTCAGTTCAGATGAAGTGTCCTGGGTTCCCAGATTTCTTGGACACCGCGGAAAAGGATACTGAAGTTGAACGGGAACACTTTATAATACTGAATATCATATTATCATATAGTATCATTATCATATTATCAATACTGATGGATATGATACTGATTATCACTTACTATTATTGAAAGGGTACTGGAGTGAGGGATTCTGTGGGTTTTCGATTCATGGATTTCTTTCATCTGACACCCATGACTTGCCCAGATCCCACTGAGCTGTATGGCCATTGAAGCAGAAGACTCATCTAGCACTGCCTTAGCGTTCAGATTTCCGGGGCTATGTGCAAGGGGCAAGGGGCAAGGGGCAAGGGGCTAAGAAAAAAATAGTTCACCACGTATTCATGATGAATATTTTAGGACAAACTCTCCAATTTTGGTGATCAATCGTCTTGAGCCAGAGCATGCCGTAGCCTTTTTCAAAAGGTCACCCCCCTGCTTTGCGCCGCCAAGCCACAAAGAAACCATCGTCGCTGTCCTCATGATGTCTGGAATACCATTCCGCATGCCAGAAAAGCCTGCCATTTGACACAGCCATCCGCAGGGATATGGGGATGGCCAACTCAATCGGACTAGACCGATCATGGATGTGCATCCCAGCTAGTATGTAAGTGGTTTATATATATATATACATACAAGCCACACACATGACTCTGCATACATCTGGGATTTTCCACACGTGTATATTCCACATTGCATTTTATATATCCAATTATACATATGTATATAATATATATTATATATACCCTCTGGTTATTTAACATAGCCATGGAAAATCACCATGTTTAATAGGTAAATCATCTATAAATGGGTCATTTTCCATGGCTATGTTAAATAACCAGAGGGTATATACACATATGATCATATATGTACGCCCTGCTGCGAGATCCGAGATCTGAGATCTCACCTCCTGAAATTGCTGCTCTTGCAAAAAATGCCCTGACGTTTCACCGCGGCAGCGTCTGGGCTTGATTCTGCATGCATCTGCTGTTCCAATGTGCCAACCCTGGAATCCAAAGGTGTGTCACTGTCAACCTCCATGGCCGGTTTCGGCAACTGCGAGAGCACAGCGTCGATGACCCTCTGCTCCATATCATCCAAAGGGCTGCCAATGTGAATGTTGGCAGGTGGCTGCTTGTTATTTCCTTGGAGTACACCAAGGATGGAAAAAGAGCTGGTGCTGCTGAGAGCGTCACCGTGTCCGTCAAAGAAGTTGTCCGGCGTTTAGCCCATTGGAAACGACACACCCCCTAGAGTCACCATGGTTCAAGAGATGAAAACTATGTGACCATACAATGGCGTTGTTTGATATGGGGGATGGGATGAATAGACTTGTGGTTCGTTGCACTCTGTGTGTTAGCTGTAGACTTCGTCCCCTAAATCAGGGTTCCTCAATCCGTGCGTGACATACCATACTGAAAAAGGAACGCAGCAAACCACCAAGCAGTATGCCATCGGGAAATGGCTCAACATTGTTTACCCACTTGGATGGATCATTTTTCTTAAATGGTAAAATCATGACAATAATATACAATAATCAACTATGATTATCTATGATTTGTATAACAAGAATCCAACTATTCCAAAAATCAATAATCAAAATTAATCAACATATATTTATTTTTCCAATGACAATCTCGGATCAACTTCGTGGGCATTGCCGCATCGCCTGCAAAACTGCAAGCGCTGCTGTTCTCCCAGGGATAAGACGTCGTCCCACAGAATCCCAGGTGTGTCCAGCTCATCCCTGGCGGCTCAGTTGGTGCTTTGAACCCAAAAAATTGGGCAAAATCATGCAAATATTCGTCAAGGATTTATTAGATACAATTAATACATATATACATATATATATATTATATGTAGTATATTGTAGTATATGATCATTTCAATTGGCATTGTGTTTTGGTTGTGTAAAAAGACAAAACAACAAACAACCCGTGAAAAGGCCTTGAAACCACAGATGGAGCCTATATAACTTACAGTAAGCCTACACAACTGCCCAAGACCACATAAACTTCAGTGAATCATCAATTAAAACACTCTAGCACTGCATGCATCTTCAATCCCCAAATATCCAAAAATCATCAAGAATCATTTAGAAAATCATCATCCCAACATAAACATATATATATATATAACCATATACAGTATATGTATAATCATATAATTATATATATATATATCCCCGTCACATCTCCCGTCGCAGCGTGGCACCTTCGGGCTTCCCAGACGTCCAGCAGATTGGCATCGGTGAAGAGTCGCTCCATCAGCTCGGTATCCAGCTCCGTCAGTAGGGACGTGTCCCAGATGGGATAGGCGACCTGCATGTAGCAACCAGATTCATCATGTAGAATCCCCTATAATGATAATATTGTATATATATACATATATACATATATTTCACGATATAAGATATAATCATGAACTAATCATGTCGAAATAGTGGTTAGGATGAATATATATATATATATGTATGTATGTATGTATGCATGCATGTATGTATGTATGTGAAATGTGTGTATAATATATATATGTATGTGATATGCGTATAACAATTTATATTTTATGTATGTAATATATATATATATATATCGTATTCTTTATGTTATTATATACTGTAATCATTAGAATGGGATGGAGAATCATGTTATGATGATGATGATGATGATGCTGATGATGATGATGATGATGATGATGATGATGGTTATTTCATGGATTTTTTTTAATCAGGGTTGGAGCCAGGGGATTGACCAACGAACACATCATCGGACGACCATCCCGGAAATACATTTCGACATCGGCGGGGGTTTCTATAGATGATGTTCACAAACATGACTTCTCAAAGTGCGTAGCACTCATTGGAAATGTGTAGTCCATTTGCATATAACAACATGTTACAATTGCGGTTAACTTCGCTTACAAAGTGGAATGCAAATAAACATTAGATACATAATATTGGCAATGAATGGTAATGATACAAATCATCATGAGGTCCTGGAAAAAAAAAAAAAAAACTATGTCAGCTCCATAATTTATCGATTGAGGATTCCTGGGTGAACTATGGTGAAGTGGATGTTTCCGTCTCCCACCTCCCAGGATCTGTTTTTTAATACTTTTTTGTATGATGTCTTTACAGGAAATCACAAAGTTTTGATGGTCAAAGCACCATTGTATGTAATATTTATATAATATGTATTTCCTCGCAATCCATTCAGCCTCCCAAACACCATTCATACTTCCCTTCAACTGAAAACTTTCCCCGATCCAATCAGTCAGTTTCCCACCTGCTCTCTCAGAGTTCCCTGGAACAAATATGGTCTCTGCGCCAGGAAGAAGACGCTGAGAGGTCCCGGGCGACTGAAGGTGGCCTTTTCTCCTGTGCCCCCGCTGAAACTCACATGGAACCGCAAAATGGTGCTCTGAAAGCCCATTTTCCGAGTGAAAATGTGAATTTTGAGGTGTCCAACTTAGTTTTTGTAGGGTCAAATAGTCTAACTTCAAGAAGTCTTGGTTACACATTCAAAACAGCCGCTATCAGCCAACACGGAGTTTCGGAGCCTTCAAAACACAAAAACTCCATGACTCGACCCATACCCAATTTTTCTTGGAACCCTGGTGATTCCTGGCAAACAATTGGCAAAAAATGATTCTGGGTGGTGGTTTCTGCAAGAGTTTCAATCCATCCCAAATATTCTATCAAGTCCGTAAAAATCACAGCGGCACCATTCTCACAGGAAGATGATTGATATGTATATAATATATGTATAAATTATAATTATATATTATATATATATGAATATATGATTAAACATAATAACATCCTCCCATCCCAAAAATAGGTAAACACTGTCTGAAAACCATTAACAGCCAATTAATAACCAATAACCATGGGCAAAAACATAGGGAATATCACGGGGAAAATCAAGTGAAAGGACCGAAAAAAAAAAAATTAACATGGTCAAAACCTGGGCGTCGCCGAGGTCCTCCTTTGGGTGACCGAAAGAGAGGCCACAGCTGACCCAACACCCTGGCACAGAGCCGCGGTTCCGTCATGGGGGTACCCCCAAATCATCCAGTCTTAGACCATGAATTCGTATTAAAACCCATAGTGACTTCGGGATCCACCATTTTTTGAAACCCCCATATGTCATATGTGTATAGGGGTCAAGATCCTTACACAGTGGGTCAATATTTTTAGGACACACAAATGTCAAGCACTACGTGGAAGATGTATGAATATGTTTGGGTGGATAAAGATCTTTGAGACCTGCGGCTAAGCTACTACCCAGACATCATTTTTCTGGGTTGCCCCCAATCTTGACCTTCACACCATCTTAGAGATGGGTCTTGAGACCGCCCAAAATAAGTGAACATCTACATCTTCAGGTCAGCCCAATCCCAGGCCTCAGCAAGGAAGACTTGCCAATGCCACTGGGGCCCATGATCAAACAACTCCTCAGGAATGCATTCGCGAAACAGAGACATGGAGCTTCCCTGCTTGCGTTTGCAAAAATGATCATGTGTCAAACCGTCTCCCCGAATGGAGCTCTACATTAGCAAGTTGATCTTCGCTCCAGAGTCTGCTTCCAAAACAAGGGGTATGTATGATGTCAACCCCAGACTATCCCAGATTGACAAAGCCTGGTTCTGTGAAATTCTTGCCAGGTGAAATTACAAAACAGGGATCCAGAAGGGGCATCCCTGGACACCACATCCTTCTGCCCCAGATCCCTGCTAGGATCTGCCAGGGGTTGGGTGGCTACCAAACCCATCAATTTTTGCGAAGACACTCCCCAGGATCCAGCCGTAGACTGACATTCTTCAGCAGCAACCTGGCAGGACCCAACATCCTATAGTCCTATGCCTATACCTTCGACCCACATATTGTATTTAAAAATGTTAAAAGTGTCACCAAGTCACCACTGGGCTGAAGAGTTCCTTGGACATGCAGGCCTTGCTCAAAAATCTTTGGAGGGGAAGCACGCAGTGGTGGATGGTCATGTCTTTATGTTTTTTCCTGCGAGAATCCGGACCCACTGCGGATCGGTTGCGCCTCATACCGTCAGGAGTGAAGATGTCCACATTCCTCAGAGAGGTTTCTTTTTGTCAACACATGGAGGTTTCCTAAAATGAGGGTACCCCCAAATCATCCATCAAAAATCATTAAAGTATATTAAAATCAGATTTTCCATTATGAACCATCCATGTTGGGCCCATTTTGGGAAACCTCCATTTGGTCATCCTCTGGGTATAAAAAGTCGCTGCCAAGATCTGTATGGTGAAAACCTGGTGAAAACCTTGAACAGTTCCCGTGAACCACACCATCTTCAAATGCTTACGACGAGTGGCTCAAATGCTACGAAAGGCGTGATGTTCATGGGAACCACTGCGCCGCAATGCAGTTGCTGCACGCGATAGTATGGAAGACAGCAGACAACCTGCCGACTTCAGAGTTCCTAAAGAGTTGAGAATTACTCATGTTTTGTAGAATTTCAGTTAGTAATTAGTGATAACTAGTGACCTTCTATTCTGGATGGGAGAGATAATTTTGGCCCATTACCATGAGGCTATGGTGGCTATGGATGGTTATGGGTCTGTTTATTCTGAAATCCCCAGCCCTGCACACCAACAGCTAGCTGGTAGTTGTGGATGGATGACCATACACCATTTGAGATAGTGGCATAGGTATTGACCCATCCCCATGTTTCTCATCTCTCAAAACAACTCAGTCAACCCCTTTCCATCGCATCCGTAATGGTGAATGGCACATCCACCAGGTTTCTGTGCGAACCGTCCGTTTTTGGCTGAACAATTTTGCGTATGGGAGTCAAACAGGAGATCACATCCATAGGACTCACCACCTTTTTTCCCGAGAGCGTCTGAGCGAAGGGTTCTTCAATAGGAGGTTTGCTATACATTTTCATATGTTCACATCTTCATCACATCTTCATCACATCTTCATCACATCTTCATCACATCTTCATCACATCTTCACATCTTCTCATCTTCACATCTTCTCATCTTTTCTCTCTCTCTCTCTCTCTCGCCTTCTCTCTCCCTCTCTCTTCCTCTGTCCCTCTGTCCCTCTGTCCCTCTGTCGCTCTGTCTCTCTGTCTCTCTGTCTCTCTGTCTCTCTGTCTCTCTCTCTCTCTCTCTCTCAGTCTCTGTCTCTTGCCCTCTGTCACGGTCTCTCTCCTTCTTTTTCTTTTCTCTCTTAAGGCCGCGGGCAGTGCCGACGAGGCGCCACGAAGTGGCCACCCTTTCGCACGAAACGAAGTTTGAGTGTCAAAAACTGATGGTTGTTTGCGAGTTTGGTTGGTCCGGCGGCAACCCTTTCGCACGAAACGAGGGGTGAGTGTCCAAAACGGTGTTTTTTTGCGCGTTTGGTTGGTCCTGTTAAAGGGTCTGCGTGTGCAAGTGCTTGTGTGTAAAAGTGTTTGTGTGTAAAAGTGTTTGCGTGTAGGCGCGTCTGCGTTTAAAGTGTTTGTGTGTGTAAAAGGGTCTGTGTGTCAAAGCGTCTGTGTCTAAAAGCGTCTGTGTGTCAAAACGTCTGTCTAAAAGGGTCTGTGTGTAAAAGCTTTTGTGTATAACAGCTTCTGTGTAAAAGCTTTTGTGTGTAAAAGCTTCTGTGTGTAAAAATGTCTGTGTGTAAAAGCGTCTGTGGGTAAAAGGTTCTGTGTGTAAAAGCTTCTGTGCGCAAACAGTTCTGTGTAAAAGGTTCTGTGTGTAAAAGTGTCTGTATGTAAAAGCTTCTGTGTGTAAAAGCTTCCGTGTAAAAGCTTCTGCGTGGAAAAGCTTCTGTGTGTAAAAGCTTCTCCGTGTAAAAGCTTCTGTGTGTAAAAGCTTCCGTGTGTAAAAGCGGCTGTGTAAGAGATTCTGTGAGTAAAAGCGTCTGTGTGTAAAAGGTTCTGTGTGTAAAAGCGTCTGTGTGTAAAAGTGTCTCTGTGTAAAATGTTCTGTGTAAAAGCTTCTGTGTGTAAAAGCTGTTGTGTGTAAAAGCGTCTATGTGTAAAAGCTTGCTGTGTGTAAAAGTTTTTGTGTGTAAAAGCGTCTGTGTGTGAAAGCTTTTGTGTGTAAAAGCTTTTGTGTGTACAGGTGTCTGTGTGTAAAAGCTTCTGTGTGTAAAAAGCTTCTGTGTGTAAAAGCTTCTGTGTGTAAAAGCGTCTGTGTGTCAAAACGTCTGTGTCTAAAAGGGTCTGTGTGTAAAAGCTTTTGTGTATAACAGCTTCTGTGTAAAAGCTTTTGTGTGTAAAAGCTTCTGTGTGTAAAAATGTCTGTGTGTAAAAGCGTCTGTGGGTAAAAGGTTCTGTGTGTAGAAGCTTCTGTGCGCAAACAGTTCTGTGTAAAAGGTTCTGTGTGTAAAAGTGTCTGTATGTAAAAGCTTCTGTGTGTAAAAGCTTCCGTGTAAAAGCTTCTGCGTGGAAAAGCTTCTGTGTGTAAAAGCTTCTGTATGTTAAAAGCGGCTGTGTGTAAAAGTGTCTGTGTAAAAGCTTCTGTGTGTACAGGGTTCTGCGTGTAAAAGTGTCTGTGTAAAAGCGTTTGTGTGCAATTAAAAGCATGCTGTGTGTAAAAGCTTGCTGTGTGTCAAAGCGTCTGTGTCTAAAAGCGTCTGTGTGTCAAAACGTCTGTGTCTAAAAGAGTCTGCGTGTAAAAGCGTTTGTGTATAAAAGCTTCTGTGTAAGAGCTTTTGTGTGTAAAAGCTTCTGTGTGTAAAAATGTCTGTGTGTAAAAGCGTCTGTGGGTAAAAAAATATGTGTGTAAAAGCTTCTGTGTGCAAACAGTTCTGTGTAAAAGGTTCTGTGTGTAAAAGTGTCTGTATGTAAAAGCTTCTGTGTGTAAAAGCGTATGTGTGTAAAAGCTTCTGTGTGTAAATGCGTCTGTGTGTAAAAGTGTCTGTGTGTAAGAGTGTTGTGTAAAAGTGTCTGTGTGTAAAAGCGTCTGTGTGTAAAAGTGTCTGTGTGTAAGAGTGTTGTGTAAAAGTGTCTGTGTGTAAAAGCGTCTGTGTGTAAAAGTGTCTGTGTGTAAGAGCTTCTGTGTGTAAAAGCTTTTGTGTGTAAAAGCTTTTGTGCGTAAAAGATTTTGTGCGTAAAAGCTTGCGTGTGTGTAAAAGCTTGTGTGTGTAAGAGTGTGTGTAAAAGCGTCGGTGTGTAAAAGTGTCTGTGTGTAAAAGCTTCTGTGTATAAAAGCTTCTGTATGTAAAAGCTTCTGCGTGGAAAAGTTTCTGTGCGTAAAAAGCTTGCTGTGTGTAGAAGCTTTTGTGTGTAAAAGCTTCTGTGTGTAAAAGCTTCTGTGTGCAAAAGTTTTGTGTAAAAGCGTCTGTGTGTGAAAGTTTTTGTGTGTAAAAGCTTTTGTGTGTACAGGCTTCTGTGTGTAAAAGCGTTTGTGTGTACAGGCTTCTGTGTGTGTGTGGGTTCGCGTGTGTCTGTGTGTGTGTGTCTGTTTGTGTGTGTGTATGTGTCTGTGTGTATATATGTGTAAACATGTTTCTCTGTGTGTGTGTGTGTCTGTGTTAGAGCGCCTATCAGCATATCTGTATGTTTGTATTTTTCACATCTTATATACAGCATACCTTGTCTGTCTCTTGCAACTAAAATCCTGGCATCTTCACATCTTCTTATCTTGACATCTACACAGAATGAACATATTCACATGATCTCAAATAACATTCTTATGAACATATTCATGTAAGTCTTTGGCGTCTGCAAATCATACAACTACATAACACATCTGAGTACCTATACACCTACTCGCTCTCGGGCCAACCGTCGTCTAGTATAAGTCTCAGACATCTTCATCCCGGTCTAATCCTTCACCAACCCGCCCCCACTTTCACTACTGAATCTTCATGATTTCCCCCCGATCAACAAGAAACATCTCTCAACCCCAACTCCCCAACCCCCAACCCCCCAACCCCACATACCCCCCAAGACCCCTACCAACCCCCCAACCTACCCACCCATCCCCCCAAGCCGGCCTCCTCCTCGTCGATCAGGAAGCCTTCAGCACGGCTCAGGGACCTCTTTCCCTTGCGGTGCGCCTCAAAGGCGATGAAGGCGTCCATCACCTGCCATGGACACGGCCTCCATTAGCGCCACTTAGCCGAGTCTATCATAGGCGTACCTGAAATGGCCATTGATTATATTTTATATATATAGTATCATATAGTGACAGTATGTGACAGTAGCAGTGTATGACTGTCTATACTACTAGTCAAATAATTCCTACTGTAGTTCATCAGCGATTTATTTCATCAGTGTCATATTTTTCTAGAGATTGATAGAGGCATAGCCCAAAAAAAATCACACCCCGTTGTTGTGATGAGTCCCATCCCCATTTCTGTGAGCTACTTGATCCCCCGTGTTCGATGCTAACATGAATCGACGTATTCTTTATGTGGTACAAATTACCCATGTCAAGTTCTTAAAATCACCCGTTCAAAGTTCTGTGGTTGTTTCAAATCAAAAACAGCTCCATTCTACTAAATCCCTAGCCTCTGGCAATCAAAGAAACCATTGAGTTCCAGAATTTTCCCGGCTAGAACCTCCATTGAGTTCCAGTAGTTCGAGGATTTCACAGCTGCCCAGGCCTCTAAGAGTTGAACCACGCGCTGGAGCATGGCTTGTGCCTCCCGTTGTTGAGATTGTCAGCCCTCATCAGTTTGAACCACAAATTGCCCAGTTCATCATGATTCATGACCAATCTTAGATATATAGTGGTTAGGTCAAGATTTATAGCCTAGCCATTCAAGGTCTCATATGCAGCAAAGGCCCCACTACTCTATGTGGACCCAAACATGAGTAAACATGGGCAATTCAGTATTCATGGGATGGGATTATATAAGTGAATATCCAAAAAAAACTCTTGGTACTTATTTGGCAATTTAGATGTTGTTTTCCAGTATGTTCACATAGACATGGAACATCCATCAGGTGTATATCATTTCCGAGAGAAACCACGCGTTTTCCATGTCTTCTATGTTACTTTGCAAGAGGTTAATTGACTTAGACAATCTTAGACACATATTTGGCTTCGCACTTCAAAAATTGCCAAAACCTGCGGAACATCCACAATTTTTGCGGATGGTTTGGACAGCCTATGGACATATATCAATAGCTCAGACTCACCAACCACAGGTCAAAACCAAGAACTTCGCTGTGCCCCGAAATACTCGTTGGATTTTGCTGGGAAAATAATTGAACTATTTTCGGGGATGTCCCAATGAAACAAATGAAATCTAAAAGCTGGACGTAGAAAAAAAACTGGCCCGGATGTTGAAGCTTTTTGTCCAAAAGACCGGGGTCCAGAATTCCAGTAGAAATATGTTGAAACCATGGATAGACTGGTAGTATCAAATCGTACAGTTGATGTGTGCCCAATTGTTGACCCATACCCAAACAGAGGCAGAGATCTCTAGATGTTGGAATCCACAAACGCCTTGCTTGACTACCAGAGGTTTCGGTATGATTGGAGCATCACCCCAAATAGTAAGTACTTGTAGGTGGTGAGGAAATGTTGATCACCAGTTCCCAAGCCACCCTGCGCCTTGGCCAGATCCACCACACTCTTGGCCACTTCCAAGCAACAACGAATGATGCGGATAAAGGTCAGGTTCAGGACCTGAGGAGATTCTAATGTGGATTCAACATGATTTAGCCAGAAAAGATAAGATCTTTTCGAGGTTCAAAGTACCTGAAAAAGATGCCAGGCTTTCATTGTGGAGGTTGGCCCCAAAATGGCCAAGGAACTGGCATTCCGGGATTAGGAGCTGATGGGATATGATTGGGATATGATGGGATCGGATGATTGATGATGGGGGTTGGAACTGTAATAGATCTGATCAGTTGGGCCTCTTCAGGCTGGGATGATCAAACAACCTCAAAAGGTGGGAGATGTTCCAGGTAGCAGCCAGGTAGATCCCATGAATTTCGTGGGTATACCGGGTATACAATGATGGTGATGTTAGTACGGGAAAGGAACTTGTGGGGCATCTCACGGCTTATCCTACAAATCTCGCAGTTCAAAGGAGTGAATTCAGCCAGGGGATGCTGCCTGAGGTGCACCCGCTACGAGTTCGCCCCAAAGATGAGCAAAGTTCGCCCCTTCACCAACAGAGAGGGGGTGAAGGACCCAGCCAACCCGACCCAGCCAAGGGGCGTAAAATGTTGTCTCTGAATCTTGGGTCCAGCTGCCTGACAAGCTTGTGACTAGCTTTGCGGCGTGCCTCATGTGGCCTAGGTGGTTGGTTTGTCCCTGGGGTATGTTGGGTGTGTTGGTATATGTTCAGGTCGGTTAGTTGTGATTCTGATTAACTTATGATGTTTATTGCGTTATGTTGACTGTCAAGCGTCCAAACTAGCTTTGGATAGGATTCAAAGAAAGGCTCATGACAGTCGCTCAAGATTGGCCAAAGTTGGGATCGGTTGGGGCTCCAGTCGGGGTCAAAGTCGAACATTTCCACATATTTCCACTGTGTCATACTGTGTCCATCTCATTTTTTTGTTTGCCCCAGTTGAATGAATGCAGCATCGGGGATCATCATCCAACATCCTCCATCGCCTTTCCGCACCACAAAGGCGGCGATGGCCATGGAGATGGGTGCCAGGCCAAAATAGAAGGCCAACTGGGAGAGGTCCACCAGAAGTTTGTACATGGCGAAGGATTGAAATCCCAATCGAACACGCACCTGATGAAATGTGAGGATCTGGGACATCTGGGATTCGTGGGGAAAAAAAGAGATGGATGGTGACACATAGAGATGGGGAGGGCGCTTTGTTGTTGGGGAACACGTTGTATCGCGGTGTCATGTTTTGTCAACTCCGGAAGAAGTGGCGAAGTTAAGAGTGGGCCAATCTCTGAGAACTTGACACGGAAGACCCACCAATAAAAAGACCGACTCGACTAGATCTTCATGCTTGGGAATCTTTAACCCTGGACCCTGGTGAAGGAAAAAGTGATGTGCTTCACAGCAATATACATTATATATTATATTATATTATATATTATATTATATTATATTATATCATATTATATTATATTATAGTATATTATATTATATCATATCATATCATATCATATTATATTATATTATATTATATTATAGTATATTGTATTATATATTATATTATATTATATTATATTATAATATATTATATTATATTATATTATATCATATTATATTATATTATATTATAGTATATTATATTGTATTATATCATAGTATATTATAGTATATTGTATTATATATTATATTATATTATATTATAATATATTATATTATATTATATTATATTATATTACAATATATTATATTATATTGTATTATATTATATTATATTATATTATATATTTGGATGTGGGTCAAGAAGTAAGAATCAGCAGACCAAGCAATTTTTGGGGTACCCATTTTTGACCCATCCCCACCAATTCCATCTAATCCCCGGGGCTCACCACCAATTCTTTCCATGGCACATATAACTTCTCCAAGCGCTCCGCCTCACTTTCTTCACCGCCGTAGAAGCAAATGGACTCCTTGAGGACAATGGCTGAAGTTGGGACCATGAAACCCATCAAGAATCTATAGTCATCCTGGAGTAGATAGAATATAGGTTCAATAAATGAAAGCTGATTGAACAGCATGGTCTCAGTTGTTTGACCGAAACGAAAATCAAAGCATCATCGTTTGAAGAAATGGTCGAAAGATTGGCATCAACATATCTTCAACATAATTACCAGTCAAGTCATGCGGACCAACCGATCAATTCTCTCAAATCAGGGCAAATTGAGAGAACATGAAACAACCATATCATTTGAAATCAGCAACCAGTTTGTTCCCTCCTTTTAATTTTAGTTGGCCTTATAAAAAATCCGTTCCCTTCTCCATTGAAATACATGGCACTGAAGCCCCTGATGTTTCACCAGAACTGGTAGGGGTTTACACGTTTGCCTTGTCCGCAGACAGGATATACCTTAAAATTGCATGTTTCATCAGAACAAATGCATTCAATCCTTTTAGAAGTGGGGCGACCTGTTTGTAGACAAAGCCATGTTTTGTTCCGAGCATTGAGCTGTGTCTTTATAATTATGTAAACATATTATGTCTGCAATTATATCAATTATGAATATCAATTATTGGAACATATGAATATCAATTATATCCCATTGTATCACCCATTGTATCCCACCATTCTTGATGCTTAAATCCCCATTTTTGTTGCTTAAATCATAAATCCCCAAAAAAAACCCAAGTTTTCTGGGTGAACATCCACTAATTTTCACAGTAATCTTCGCAGTGAAATCCCATGAAGTTCCGTTTTTGTTGTAAATACCTATCCCCCACATTCCCCCAGCACTTCTGCGACCAAATCACTGCGAAAAGGCTACACTTCGAATACGCCGCGCGCAGCGATGCCTCCGCAGATTGCACTTGCGACTGTGCCTGGAGCCAGCTGGGGAGGGAGGCAACTGACGGTGGCAAATATCTCACCTGAAAAAGGAAAGCCCATGGTTTTGCAAGGAAATTGATCTACTTAAATGGTATTTTAAAATGGTGGGTGTTCTGCATCTACGTTAGTTATCGTTAGTTTACCAGAGGGTAATGGGAATCAAGAGTCGAATTTATGCGTTTTTCACCCAGAGAAATATGAGAAATATGAGATTTAACGGGATGAACAAACAGAAATCATCTTACCCTACACTAATATGTGGATTCGGACCAAAAAACTGGGGATTTAACCAAGAATGGGGGATAAGGGGTTTAATGATTCAACACTGATCATTTTGTGGGGATGGAATATATATATATATATATACATATATATGTATGGGTAAATTAGAACATAATTCACCAACCTGAATCTTGCGGCCATAAAAGGGGATGATTTCCCTTACTAACCATGATTCCAGTGAGGGAGAACAGTGAGGTCGTTATAATTTACCCATATATATATACATATATATATAATGTAGTGTCTTGGAAGGTACAACTAATGTGGTAAACCCATGTAAACCCTACACTAAACCATCCCCAATTTCACGAAAAATTGCTGTTTTACAACCATATCCAATAGGTGGTTTATGTAATTGGGTTTATAACATTATATAATCAAGGTAAACAGTAAATGGCTAATTATATTTGGGGTATTGTTGTCAATACCCTACAAATGGTGACCATGGAGCATGTCCCGTTGGGTTGGTAATCAAAAACCATATCAAAAAATGCAATCATGTTATTTTGTTCGCTAATCAGTATGTCACCTCCACCTGGAAGTTGGAATATCTTAAAAAAAAAAAAAACGACACCTTGAAGAACCCCAAGTTAGGCCAATCTTTCTCAATGGATGTCTCGGATTTTTTCCTCATAGAAATCTGAGTCCAGCTCAGGTCTCCAAAAAGAATGCGATGCCAACCTTTGTTCCACCTCACATCCCCAGTTGGAGACCGTCCTGGTATTTAGGTTATAACATTTGTGGTACAGAAACACATAAAACATACCTCCAAAAAAAAGATACTTGTACAGAAAAGGTTTGTATAAGATTTAGAACATTTTAGAACTATGGAATTTCATGGAATTGCCATTTCTCTGCATCTTTAAGGAAGCTTCCCATTCAACAACCAATAACCACTGGCTATCTCCAGGGCATTCCCAGCCTTAGTGAGGCCATCGGCTGCTGCCAGCGTGGGAACTAACGAGACCACCACCACCATGAAGGCAATGCCTCAGCCATGGCCCCATGGGATACACAGAAATTGGGGGAGAGGTCGAGAGTCTCAGTATATCTCCCATATTCTCCCATATTCTCCCAGAAAATGTCTATCATCAATAAATCACCACTAGCATCGTGGAAGCCACTATCCCATAAATTTCCAACTTCAATTTCATAATTCCACAGTAATATCCATGTAATATCCATGGATTGTTGAATTATGATAATCATTCCACAGTAATACGTATCATGATCATCCTTTAAAACAAATCCATGGATTTCTTGGGGCACCAAGTCATCCCACTTCTATCAAAGCCCCAAAAAATGCTTCACGGCTTCACCGAGGCACCAATGGAGGGCCAGCCCCAGCCCGGTGCGCCGTCTTCGGCTTCTTGGTACGCCACTGCCACCGTGAAGATCAGGAAAAAGATTTGGCAGCAAGCGCCAGATTCCGGTTTCATGATCCTGGATGCCAAGAGATCCAAGAGGGGGTCTAGTTTCAGCATGTGAAAAAAGCATGTTTGAGCTGTGTAAGTGTGTACAAAAATGGGATTTCGCCAACACAATATTATTGGGATTATGATTTGGTTTGACCGTTTTTACCAACAGACACGGGGAGATGTGTATACATAATATATATATATACCCTGTTCTTCTTCGACCGTTAAATTTCGGTGCTTCCAGGTAAGGACGTTAATTTGTACTCGACGACTATTACTTTTTTGATCAGGGGTTGAAAAATTGGTTGGAAAAAAAAACCGTAGACAAACCGTGGACAAACCGTAGAAAGGGCACTTATTTCCGTAGAACGACTATTAATTTCCGTAGAACCCAGGTAGTCAAAAACGCTTGAAAATTGGGTTTACAACCTGCAGACTAGATTTTGAATCAATAGCAAATAATAGTCTTTATCCAATTAACCTTTGGCACCACGCACGTTAATTTTATGTGCTTTGGAAGTATAGGGTATATCTATAATCATATTATATATATACATATCCTTGGTTTCAAATGGAGTGAAGGGAAAATTGAAACTGGAAACCATGGACTTACCCAAAAAATGCAGATGGTTTTCCTGCAAATGTTGGCTTCAACCAATTCTTGGAAGTTTGGGGGGGCATGTGCAAGGTACCTGTTACCTGTATGACATCGTAGAACATCGTATAACATCGTATAACTATATGGTCTATCTCAGGTCGATGTGTACTGCCCATGCAAAATTCGTGGTGTTAGATGGCAAAACAAAGCCTGATAGTCCTGGTGAAATCAAGTGCTTAAAACATCTTAAAACATGACTTGGGGCTTAGATGGGCTTAGGGTGTCCCAAAACTTGCCCCAGTGATCAGTGATTCATCGTATTTCATCGTGAGGTTTTCGTGGAATCAGAAGTGCTTGCCAAGCTGCCCACCAAAGACAAACTCGAACAAGAACTGCAGTAGAAGATCCGTGTCGTTGGTGATACGAGCATCGGGTGTATCCACACGGTGGTCCAAGTTCCTTAAGGGACGAAGTCGAGTTGTCGTGCTCCCACCAGCTGGTGGATCTTGAAGGTCTAAATGGGGGTTTCTGAAAATGGTGGATCCCCAAATCATCCCAAATCCATAGGTTTCAGTTTCAATACTAAAATATACTAAAATGGTCTAATGACTTGGATGATTTATGATGATTTGGGGGTACTCCGATTTTAGGACACCTCCAAATAGAGATTATCATTATAGTAGATTTTATATGATTTTGTGATATTTTTGGGTGAGTCTTTCTGGGTCCGGCAAGACTCTAATTTGTATCTCAAGACTATGAATCTTCTTTTCACACACACTGCTGATCAATACATGTTTGTCGGAGATAACTTGCATGCACCGTGTAGGTAGATTGAGAAGTCTTATATAAATTCATATAAATTCTGGGAATTAGGCACTCCGGAAGCCTTCCAAGATGGTCGTTTTTGTCCGACGAAAAAAACATGGTTTGGGGCCTGGGGTACAGCCTCGACTCGAACCAAGGCTCCCTACGCACTACAGATCCACATTGGGCTTCTCAGGATGTTTGGCAGCTTGCTTCATACCCTATTACACAAGATGTCAAGCCCAAATCAACCGCTATCTTCTGATGTCAAGGATGCAAATAGACTAAATAGACATAGCCACTTCGGGCGGTATCTCCACACCTGCCACCAGCCTCCTCCTCAGCGCCATGGCTCCCCAAGGTGTAGTACAAGCGCCCCTCACGACTCATATACGCAGCGTGATGGTGTTCAACTAACGCACGACGGAAGGAGATCATTGCCCGCATACCGCAGAAGTTCATGGCTGCCTTGCAAGCAAGCTTGGGAATATCATCAGTGGGCAACATCATCAACATCTGAGTAATGTTGAGTGAGATAGTATATGGTACATCCGGGTCCATCAATAACTTAAATCTTCAACGGTCTTGAATTTTGAACATGTCTCTGACTTGAGTTAAGCAAGCATATAGCAAGTATATACATTGCATAGATATACACAAGTTATGTGAATATACATAATATATATAATATACATATATTTTATCTACATACAAATACATACATACATAGTGCCCAGACATGTCTATAATAGAGTGTGTGTGTGTGTGGGCGCAGTTTTGGTCAATAGTACTAACCATCCAAGTATTCGGCTACTCCATTTTGACCCAAACCTACTGTAGACTGTATATCTGCAGAGGGCTTTGCCTGATGATGGTGGATGGTGGTGTGAAGTGGTGTGGAAATTCATGCATCCAATGCATCGTCCTGCATCAGTCCTGCATCTATATCCATTTATAGTCAAGAACTGAGCAGCAATAAATTCAGTCGTGGGCATTATAGTGACCCCACTATCAATATCAGCATACATCTTCACATGCAGTGAGCTACCGAATTTTGATGCCATCAGAGCGATGCAGCAAGGTGGTGTTTATTCACCCTGTGACTCCCAAATAAATGACTCCCAATGGCTGAGCGGCTAGAAACGTGTTGCTACAAGTGTGTTTGTGCAAGTATAGAAGATTCAGCTTCATGACCATCTTGCAGCCTTTGGAATCTGGACTATTCTGGACTGCTATATCATCGCAGCCTTGCTAAGGAATGCTAATGCTAAGAATAATTCGTCTGATAGACTGATATTTTCTTGCAAATCGATCCCAACCAGGCCCCCTAAATTTGCCATGGTCATATACAGTAGCTTTCCATGGATCGTCACCAGTGCTTCGGACTGCCCGAAATTTCCGACTGGATCTTTGGTGACTGGATCTGGCCTTCAAAATGGCAATGGCGGCATTGTAGCCCAGCATGATGGCCACGAAGTCTTGGAAAGCTGCTGGCAGGTTTACCTTCACCTCAGATCATCCCATTGAACTACGTGCTGAAAGCTGCTGAAAGCTACTGGGCCACTGGGCACACGAAATTGTGACCGTCCAAAAGACCACAGGATGATCATTACTGCATATATCTGCATATAGCTGCTATAGCTGCATATGCAAGTATGGTTCTACTTCCTAATGTATACTCAGTATACTCTAATCTCAATTTCTCAATGAACCCTGAACAAAACAATGCCTCGTTGAGAAAGCCCACAACAATACTGTTGCCAATATTGATATAATCATAGCATCAGAAAATGCACATCTTGCAAACTGCAGCACACTTGGTGCGGCTCTGGGTTTCAAATTGGAGGACCCTACAAGGTCCTAAAAAGAGGCAAGAATGATATTTCGCCTTGAATTTCCATGAATTTCCACTACCCTCTGGCAATCAAAGATGGCAATGGAACATCTCCCATGTATAGATAATGTTCCTATTATATATATATTATACCCCATTCTTAGAGGATTTTCTAGCTTGCCATGTTTGATTGCCAGAGGGCCTGCCAGAGGGTATTGGAAATTACAAATTTCAAATTGAAACCCTGTAGCGCGAGAGAACAACTTGTGACCTTTCCTAACCATGGCCCTGCCCAAATGAAACTGGATGCCTTACAGTGTATAAGTGGGTTTGTCTGGAAATGGGGTACTCCAAATCAAAATCCCATCTTATAATATGTCATCATATATTTCATCATATATTTCATCATTTTCCCTAATGAAATTGCTGTTTTGGGGTACCCATTTCTGGACTGACCCACGCAGATCACCTTTCCCGGCAGGACCCATGTTTGAGGTGGACCGAGTTACCATAGTCCATAGTGGTCGTACTAAGACACTGGGCACCTGAGCTCAATATCAAGTCGAGCATATTCAACCGATATTGATATTAAACAAGAAAAGACGGCAGCACGAACCCTTCAGAAAGGACATTGTGCCACTGACATAGATTCAATTCCATTCAGATTTACTTTTTTTAACGCAGCTATTGAAAGTCGTCATTTCCAATAGGTCAATCACCATAAATCATTTATAAATCGGCCATCTTCGCTATAGGTTAAATAAACAGAGGGCGAGGGTATCTCATTATGTTCCTGTGTCTGCGCGTAAACCTGAGGCTGGTTCCAAGCATGAGAGCAGACCATAGAAACCCGACAGCAGGAAGGCAGCAAAGAGCCAGAAGGCTTGCCTTACGTCCGTCGCACAAAACAAACCGGGTCCTTTGGCCCATGAAAAAAAGGGACAAGACATGGAAAATCGCGCAGAAAAACCAGACAGGTTTTATATATGTTGGAGAAGTCTTGTGAACTGTTGCATATTTGATCTGGTAAACAATGGTAAACACTGCAAACCATCAGCCATACCTTTTGGACTTTATCATTTCAAAGGGTTTGACACACCGAAAACGAACCCAGAATTTGATTGTGGCAAGATCATGGAACTGGAAACGGTTGAAGCCGCTTGAAGACAAGGCTGATCCAAGGAATCACAAGAGAATAATAAGCTGCTTATAAGCCATATATCCATATTATATGACTGGGGACTGGGATTTATCTGGGATGTATCCCATATATAACTGGGCTTACAGCCACGGTCGCTACATGATTGACATAATCCAGGCGTTGGATCGGCCCAGGGACTCACAAAAGATCGTTGGCACACAAATCCGCATGAGGCGTATTAGCTGCACCAAGAAGGACGTGACCTGTCGCAGAAGTTGAATCTCCAGATTGAGGAAAGTTCAGAATCCATTCCTTTAGCGTTTCAGAAGTTTGACATGTGATCCGTACATAGAGAAGTGCCCAAGCATCATGAGTCTATTTCATGAGTCTATTTCATGGTCTCTCCAGTTGCAAACGCAAACAGCCAATCACTTAGTCACTTAGGTCACCACTTAGGTCTGGTAAATGTTGGTAGTTTCAGATGTTGAACATCGGTATGTCCCATCATGTCCTTACCAGATTGATTCGGTCTTTCCGGTGATGTTCTTTGAAGTCGCTGCGTTTCTCAATCATTCCCTGTCAAAATCAAACACAAACTAGAACAAATGTACGGGAAATTGAAAACATGGTTGATCGAATTTTGTTTGTATATCAACCTAAATTGAAAAATATCATAAAACCTACCAATAATCCCTTGACCCCGTTCATCTCAAACACCGCCCATCAATCATGGTCTAGTAAGGGATCAAATCACATATGACTGGGACCATTCACCATGGGGGTTTCCTGCAATATCTGCAATGGAGGTACCCCTAAATCATCAATTTAAATAGGAATTTCCATTATAAACCAACCAGCTATTGAATCTGGGGATCCCTCATTGAACCCGGAAAAAGATGTTCCCCGGTTTTCCAACGCGAAGTTTGGTCCCCGCCTGTGGTGAAGGTTCTGGCAACGGTGCATAGGGAGAGATCACCTGAGGAGGACCATTGGAAAATCCGCATGCTGAGTAGATATACTGAGAACATGGGGATTATATAGAAAAACAAAATCCCATAGTTTCTCAGTACTTTCTGGAAATATGTGGAAATAGGAAGAAATGGGTACATAGCAACTGAACCAATGAGGTAGAGAGTCTTCACTCAGGTTGTCTCAAAAGATTTGTTGTTCATTTTCACCGGGAAGCTGCCCTTCACCCATACGCACATCGATTTTCCCGCTACGCTCTGGCAATCCAATATCATCAAACATGAATTTCCAGGAAAATCCCATATTTTCACTATCAAAAAATCCCTTACATACTGCTATGTACAAACACCTGTTTTCGTTTGCTATAATATGTTTGATAGGCAAAGGGCAAGCTGAGCAGTCCACCATGAGTTTCTAAGCCCGGCACCAGTGCTCCTTGCTGTTTGGTTTGTTTGAACGAGGATCTGATCTTGTTGGCTTCGCGACACCTGCGGTCCCATGCGATAAAAATGTGGCAAAATGATGCAAAATGTGAGGTGACTAAGCGGAGGTCACATTAGAAAATTGGTTGGTTGATAGGGGAGTTTCATGATAACAATCTCTAATTTTGGTCAAAACATGATGTTATCAACCAACAGGGTTTTAGGACACTCCTCATGATGTGAGCATCCGTGCAAGACACAAAAAAAAGCAACTGCATGCAAGAAATGTAGTGTTTGGACCGTCTGGTCTGGGAGTGAACATTGTGTTTCAAAAAGTGGAATAATTGCTTACTCGTGCCAGCCAGGATCAGACCAAACAATGGGCAGGATAACAGTCGCAACTAGAGTTTTCAGCAAAAGAGGCTATGTACACCCTTGCCCAAAGTGGACCCATTGGCAATTAGTCTCTGAAATACCAACCACAATCAACAACGTAGGCGAAGTCCAGTTATAGACCATTTTTCAGTCTTACTTCCCCATTTGGTGACAGAACTTTCCATCTGGATACCCAAAATTTCCTAGTGGAAAACTTCAAAATCCATCAAAATACAAAAAACACACAGCATAGTGGCAATCACTGAACATGAGTCGCAAGCCATTCAGGGTTCCTTTCAAAGTTGTGCCCCTTCCAGCTGTCCCCAGATGGGGATAGAAGTACCTGTAGTTCAGACTTCATATCCCAGATATTATCAAGACCATCTATCTGCCCACACAAATATCTAGCCAAGATACACCATCAATACCTATATAGATACATCTATATATATATATATATGATATATATATATATATGTTTATATAGCTGTCCCCAGATATGGTTATGTCTCAATTGAACCCTGGGGCCACGCCAGTGCCATTCGCAACGAGATCAACGAGTGCCCCGACAGAACGATGGAGACAACCACCATCATTACCACGGGCAAAACCAATAAGGTGCCCACCATTGTAAACACCAGGCGTTTCCTCAGGTCCGTGCTGGTGGATGAGGACTTGGGCCGGAGCCACAAGTCCGCGGAGTAGAAGAAATGGACTTGAGAGGGGGAACACGAAAGGTAGGTAAGCAAGAAAGGAACCGAAGAAAAAATGAAGGGGAGAGGGGAGGGAAAAATACATAAAGTGGAGTCTGGTAAAAGCGACGCGGCCATTTTCTTTCCAAAAATATGAAGGGGAGTCTGCTAAAAGCGACTGAAAGGCTTCGGCGATGTGGTTGGGGTTGGTGGTGGTTGTGGTGTTGGTGGTGTTGGTGGTGTTGGTGGTGCTGGTGGTGTTGGTGTTGTTGGTGGTGGTAGTGTTTCTGGTGTTGTTAGTGTTGTTAGTGTTGTTGGTGTGGTTGGGTTTGTTGGTGGTGTTGGTGTTGTTGGTCGTGTTGTTGGTGTTGGTATTGTTCGTGTTCGTGTTGTTGTTGTTGTTGTTGTTGTTGCTGTTGTTGTTGCTGTTGTTGCTGCTGCTGCTGTTGATGGTGTTGTTGTTGTTGTTGTGTGTTGTTGTGTGTTGTTGTGTGTTGTTGTGTGTTGTTGTGTGTTGTTGTGTGTTGTTGTGTGTTGTTGTGTGTGTTGTTGTGTGTTGTTGTGTGTTGTTGTGTGTTGTTGTGTGTTGTTGTGTGTTGTTGTGTGTTGTTGTGTGTTGTTGTGTGTTGTTGTGTGTTGTTGTGTGTTGTTGTTGTGTGTTGTTGTGTGTTGTTGTGTGTTGTTGTGTGTTGTTGTGTGTTGTTGTGTTTGTTGTGTGTTGTTGTGTGTTGTTGTGTGTTGTTGTGTGTTGTTGTGTGTTGTTGTGTTGTTGTTGTGTGTTGTTGTGTGTTTGTTGTGTGTTGTTGTGTGTTGTTGTGTGTTGTTGTTGTTGTTGTTGTTGTTGTTGTTGTGTGTTGTTGTGTTGTTGTTGTTGTGTGTTGTTGTGTGTTGTGTTGTTGTGTGTTGTGTGTTGTTGTGTGTTGTTGTGTGTTGTGGTGTGTTGTTGTGTGTGTGTGTGTTGTGTGTTGTTGTTGTTGTGTGTTGTGTGTTGTGTGTGTTGTGTGTTGTTGTGTGTTGTCATTGTCGTTGTTGTTGTGTGTTGTGTGTTGTGTGTTGTGTGTTGTTGTGTGTGTTGTGTGTGTGTTGTGTTGTTGTGTTGTGGTGTGTTGTTGTGTGTTGTGTGTGTTGTGTGTGTTGTGTGTGTGTGTGTGTGTGTGTTGTGTTGTGTTGTGTGTGTTGTGTTGTGTGTTGCGTGTGTTGTGTGTGTGTGTGTGTGTTGTATGTGTGTTGTGTGTGTGTGTTGTGTGTGTTGTGTGTTGTGTGTGTGTGTGTGTGTGTGTGTGTGTTGTGTGTGTGTGTGTGTGTGTGTGTGTGTTGTGTGTGTTGTGTGTTGTGTGTTGTGCGTTGTGCGTTGTGCGTTGTGCGTTGTGCATTGTGCGTTGTGCGTTGTGCGTTGTGCGTTGTGTGTTGGTGTTGTTGTTGTTGTTGTTGTTGTTGTCGTTGTTGTTGTTGCTGTTGCTGTTGCTGTGTTGTTGGTGTTGGTGTTACCCCTGCAGCGTTTTTGCTCGGTTCCGTAGTGGCCGAAAATCGTCAAATCGGTGGTGTTTTCGCGTGTTTTTGCAACTCTCGGAGCAAAAAACACCGTAAATACCGATGTTTTTGGCGGGTCGGAAGCCCAAAACCACAGTATTTACGATGTTTTTTGCCTCTGGTAGTAAAAAGCACGGTATTTACAGTGTTTTTTGGCCAGCACCTAGCAAAAACACTGGTATTTACGGAGGTTTCACCATGTAGCAAAATGTGGTTTCTTGATCCGAAAAGAACAAAAATACTGTAAATTACAGTATTTTGAGTCTGCTCTTAGGGTGCGTGGGAGGTGTGGAGGGGGGGGAGGGGGGGGGTGAAGAGGGGCCCTAGCGTCTACTTCAAGATCAGCTAAGGCGTCTTCCCCAATGACAGCACTCTTTTACTCTCAGCCTGTTGCCGGTCAGTGCTTGTCTACAGGGTTACTCTATATACCTCTTGAGCCTTGAAGGGCGCATATAAATGTGCTCAATACTCATGCATGTACCTATGTAGGTATTAGGTCGAAACAAAAACACAGGCACAAATTCAAAAGCAATGAGTAGAGCACTACGCCTTGCCGTACCCAATTGGTATTAAGAGTATCTTCCTGACTTCTCTACACAATGGCAAATAGCAAAAGAAACCGGAGTTACGCAGTGGCTTCGAATTGAAAAACACGTGAAAGCAGCGAATGTCCTAAGGACATGTCGAAAAAGAACAGCGGATTCGCTAATTTTTCCAGTAGTGACCAATGGTGCTTCGCGCACGGTCTCTCCACAGGCAAAATGCCTCGCTCTACCGGTGAAAGTTCGAATTGAAAAGTTCGGGTTCGCAAGATTCAGAAATTCAGGTCATACGAAAACAATTGACCAAATCACGAAATAAACGGAAATAGCGGATCTCCAAAGTTGCTCATTCAAGCAAACAATGGACTGAAATCGAAGTTGGTAAATTTTTGAAGTTCGCTCCATTCGGAGTGGTCTGCTCGCCGGATGATTCATGGAGATAAATGTATATAGTATCTCTATTTACAAGAGTCTCTATTTTACATTAAATTGAAGTTCAGACACTTGTGGCATTATCTCTATCTAAAAGAGTATATGCCATCTGTGTGAAATAAGTTGAACGCACAGAAAAACTGTACACGGCTTCTCATGCTGTGTTATCTTCAATTAAAGAAGTGTACACTCACTCATCGCCACTCACTTGATCTCCATGGTCTGGACGCTGAAGATGAGGATCCACCCCACTCTGTGTTGCCCTGATACGTCGATGCTTGATCTTCATATGCCTTTCTCTTTTTCTCCTTCTGTCTTTCCTTTCTTGAATCAGCATACTGCTTCTTCTTGTAGGCCTGTTTGTAATGATGTCGTTCATTCCATGACATATCAGAAGGATCAAGATGGATAAGAATTGGATTATGAGCATCGCGATCATTTGGAGCAACCATGAAGATGTTGTGATCACCATGTAAGCAAGTTTCATTTACCTTGAAGTAAAATTCACCCACATAGTTCATGTGATCTTCATCCTCAAAGTCTTCTGGGTGTTCCTCACACATCAAACGTGAATGACCCCACTCAACAACTGTTAACATACAACAATCACCTTTACCAGTTGTCTTGTTCATGATCTCGTCGGTGTATGTTGCTGTTGTAATGCCATCCAAGTGCGTTGCAAGAAAATCCAAGTCACGATAACTGCAAGAAATGAAATGCTTGACCCTGATTGGAGGGCAAGTTGGATCAAAATTCTTGCGCATGGCTTGTGTTGCAACACCTACCATTCTGTTAATCCAGAATCAGATAAGGCTGTGTTGATATGTAGGGACACCTGGAGATTTTGGTGTGCTGTAATAGCATGCCTTGTTTCCATCACCTGCGATGAAGTCAACTTGATATCTGGCACACTCAAAAGCCATAACAGCTAAGCACTCACCAACAATCCCAGCAGAGTCTGATGCATACTTCTGTCCGACGTGATAAACGCACACACGTGTCATTCTCATCCTAGCTCTTGTCAAGTCAACAATCTCATCTGTATCTCGATCCTTTGTCTTTCCCCAAGATACTTCAAAGATTGCCCATGAGACTTGTCGAACTCGTGTGTCGTTGTCATCTGTGTGATATCCAGCAATTTGCTTGATATAGCCATCCTTTCCAAGGCGAGCTGCCACCATCAAGTCATGATAGTCATTGAAGCAAGTTTTAAAGTCAACCTCGTCGAGTCTTTCTCTGTGAGGATACAACGAACCAGCCTCGCAATTCATGAAAAGATGTCCTCCAAAGTTCTTGATGACATTGATGAAGTAATTGTTGAACTGTGATTTGGTTTCATCAAATTTTTCATGATCCTCATCGATAGTGTAGTCAATGTGTGGAATGAATTGTTGAAATCTTTCTGGAACCGGGCATTTTTCAAATCTGTTTCTGCACCAGTTTCCCAAATTCCAAAACATTGCTGTTATCTGTGGAGAGGATCTGTATGGAAATT